GACAAATGACGTCATTTGTTGTAAAATATATACGCTAGAGGACGTTTTCCTTTGTTTTATCCATTTAGATAATTGGAAAAATAAAATGTATTTCATTTTTCTAACTTCGATCGATATTTTGCCAGCTATGTGAACCATTTTTGTATTTTTTATGATAGTACGTAATATTCCACTGTGCCTGCTGAGCTGCGCAGTTATTGCCGTGCCAGAATTTGGTAGCTCCCGTAACGTAGTCGATAACGTATGATAACGTAGTAGTTTTTTCTGCCCTACAGTGTAAACTGCTAAAACGTCCTATCATGTAGCTTTTGTACCGACGACTCCCTTTTATAATATTAAAATGGCAAAAATGACATCATGCAGTCGCTGCGAGGATTGAACTAGCCAACTCGGCCAGGTGTCATTCGTTACGTGACATTGTTTACAAGCTACAACGTCTCTAGGGATGCCTACGTGCAGTGTGTCAAACGGGCAGGTGCAGTCCACACTGCACGTGTCTGCTTGACCAATAGCTGTGATTTATCAACATAAACTGCTCATTGATGTATCCGTGCGTTTTTTTTTTTTTTTGCACACTTGTATAATGTATAACGTCCCTGTTCGTTACAGATCATGCGTTTCGGCTTTCCCGGTCTGGACAACGTACGCTCGCAGAGTGACTACGTGTTATCCTACGACCGCCGTGCGCGCGTGCCGCATTGGGTGTTTGAACACCTGACAGCGGAGAGCGTGCAGAGGAACGACGAGGTGGACCGGGCCGGCTGCGCGTTCAACGCGGACGAATCCATCCATCCTTACTTCAGGTTAGTGAGAGTCCGGACCCGCGGTATTCGACACTTGGCAGCGATAATTCCGTGCCAGGTCTTTGTGTTCCTGGACCTGATGTTGCTGGGTTCGCTTGTTGATATAAAGACGATGGGTACTTAGGTGTTGGAAATTATAAGAACTTTCAGTTAACCCGCGCCCGGCTGGGGGTCCTGGATTTCCACGCCCTGCTGGGGGGGGGGGGGTGGTGTCTGAACACCCCCCCCCCCCCTAACTCGGCTCCTGGGCCACGTAGCGATACGCGGAAGGCGGCGTTCGAAAGAGCATCAAAAATAATGACGAAATCACTTAAGTCAATTTTTTGGTCAGGTCAAAGGTCAGGTCACCAGAGGTCATTGAAGGCAAAATTTCGCCGATTTCCAGGTCGAATGTCGACAATTTCCAAGATGCCAACGCATAACTCGGGAACCAATAGAGCTACAGCGCCGCGGAAAAGCGCATTCGATAGCCCTATTAACGCCCTTTCTGAGTTATTCTCTCAGATTTGACCTAACGTCAACGGTTTTGCCTGCAGGGGGCAAAAACTGCAAAAATAGCCGATTTTTTCGGAAACAGTTTTTCTGCAATAACTTTTGACCCAAGCCTTGCACGAGCTTACTTTTACCGGCATCGTGTTCCTCTCGTCAAGACACATCGAATGAACTATAACTTGACCTTGAAAGGTCAACTTGAAAATTTGACCTCAGGTCAAGGTCATGACCTGACCTGAAAGGGTCATGTTGCATATCAGTCGATCCGTATCGTCGAGCTGAACACATCTAATGCGTTTTCATCGCTCTAGCATGCCTCAATCAAAAGTTATTTGCAAAAAACTGTTAGATACCATTCGTGACCTAAGATGACCTCAGGGCATAAACAGGGGTCACGGACACCATTTTCATGTTCAGTGTGTCTTAACCACTTGTAATTCAGTGTTTGGGAGTGTTTATAATGTCTTTCGTCCAAAAGAGGCGCATTTCAATTTTCTCCCATTGACTTATAATGGGGAGGTCGCAAAATTGACCTGACCTTAGGTCATCGATATCAAAATTCTGAGATATACATTTTGTACGTGCTATTGCTCTTAGCAATCGCTGAAAGTTTCAAAGCGATCGGTCACTCGGTGTAGCTATGACAGACATTGAAACTTTTTATGAGGTGAGGTCACTTCAAGTGACCTGGTGACCTGACCTTGAATGACCTTGGTCTGAAATTTTCACAACATGTGTAGAATTAATGTATGATAAGGTGTACCAAAAACGGCGGCGCAACCACAAGGGGGGTGTTCAAACACCCCCCCCCCCCCCCCAGCAGGGCGCGGGTTAATGTGAATTCAATGACGTGACATTCAGCACACATTCAGCTACACAGATAGTAACGACACGTCTCGGTTGATGTGAGTGTACCACGTGTACATACAATTAATAACTCGTTCCACCGTTTCGTTGCTCTCTTCAGGGCGGAGAACAGTGACTACAAGGGCAGCGGGTACGACCGGGGTCACATGGCGGCGGCGGCCAACCACCGGAGGTGCCAGGAGCACCAGCAGGAGACGTTCCTGTTGTCCAACATGGCGCCGCAGGTCAGTGTGCCAGGAGCACCAGCAGGAGACGTTCCTGCTGTCCAACATGGCGCCGCAGGTAGGTGTGCCAGGAGCACCAGCAGGAGACGTTCCTGCTGTCCAACATGGCGCCGCAGGTAGGTGTGCCAGCAGCACCAGCAGGAGACGTTCCTGCTGTCCAACATGGCGCCGCAGGTCAGTGTGCCAGCAGAAGACGTTCCTCCTCCATCATGGCGCCACAGGTCAGCATCTCTGACGAACGAAGCGCCGCAAACTGGAATAGTGTTACTGACGAATTAACTTGGAGTGGAAGACGTGTAAGGGTTGTAGCTTTGTTATCATTTGTTATCAGTTTGATGGACTACGTCAGAGTCCGCTACGATTCATTGAATGCGATTATTGGTGCTTATTTTCCTCATTTGCATGTACTTTTTTGTAAGAAATCTGGCTTTGCTATTTTATATTTTATCTATTTCGATACCGTGACCCGTCAACTTGTTTGGCGCTGTTACGCCCTAAGATATTACTTTAAATATCGATGCGTCTTATATTCACATAGGTGGGTAATGGCTTCAACCGCGACAAATGGAACGACCTGGAGATGCACGTGCGAAAACTGTGCAAGGTGTTCCCGAACGTATACGTGTGCACGGGACCACTGTATCTGCCCAGGTGCGTACCAGGGGGGGGGGAGCTCGATACTTCTCGCTGTGTTTAACCTAATTTGTCCTCGATTGAAATTTTACATAGCTTCGTACTGCTCTGCACTTTGTTAAGTTTCTTTTATTTTGAAATTTTGCATGTGGCTTGCACTGTAATTGGGTGTATATTAAAGGCATGCATTCCCTCATGCACTTAAACGTATTTCGCTTTCTGTTACACATTGGGTACTGGGTAGTTCCACATTGCCACTGTAGTTTTGATATGCTCCAATCGTACACATTGCTTATCGGTGCTTCGTTCGTGTTCGTTTACGTTACACCCCTGTCATCGACCCTCAGGCGCGAGGCGGACGGTCGTCAGCGCGTGAGCTACGAGGTGATCGGCCGTAACCAGGTGGCCGTGCCGACCCACTTCTACAAGGTGGTGGTGGCCGAGTCGCCGGCCGGGCACCTGGAGATGGAGGCCTACGTGATGCCCAACCAGGCCATCCCCAACGAGACGCCCATCGCCAACTTCCTGGTGAGAGAAATGCGGCGGGATGTCGTAGGAAAGACTGTGAAGGGGCTTAGAGGATGTTCTCTATGACTGTCTATGTCCTGAATGACTCTCTTTGTGTTGTGCTGTGTTGTGTTATTAAAAAGGTATGGGTGAGGTTGAAGTGAGGTGTGGTATATGTTTCCGAAACCAGACCGTTGTGCTTTGACTGCTCTCACAAATGGAAAGAATACTTTCTTGTGAACATGCAACTCTCCGTGGAAACAGGGTATCTAATTTCTCCCTTGAGATTACTCACGTGATCGACTACGCTGCATTCAGTAGTTTGAACTGATCCCGATCTTCTCTATATCGCAGGTACCCCCGGATGTCATCGAGCGAGCGGCAGGCCTTCTGTTCTTCGACAGAATGGACCGAAGCCGGCTGAAACGTGTCAACGGACGGAAAACTACCTGGCTTTGATCTCAACGGAACTAGTATAATGAAGGAAACCGATGCTTTTCAAACATGTGACAACCGTTTTGCCGTGAAACGTGAACGTTTCGAAAGGGCAAAGTTCATGAACTGCCAAAACTAGTCTTGCCACAGGCTGTTGGCTGTTGGCTGTTTGACAATGGCATAGTTGTTTGGGATGTTGGGGCGGCTGGTCAACCATGTTGTTACGTGGCATTTGACTGGAGGAGGAGCGTGCCAGTTTTTGGGCGTTGTTTGTTGTTGTGGGATGGGATGGTTCCTGCAATCGCCAGGGAGCGTTTAGGCATCCGACGAGGAATTGGAATTGAGAGTGCCTATTTGCCGCATTGTGGAGCAATAACTGCAATGGTTTGTTTTTTGTTGTGGATTCCTTCCTCCGAAATGAAGCGGAATGGTATAGTTGGAACGTTTTATGAACATCGAACCTGTCCAGGCGGAGAACCTGTCGGAATGGATCCATACTGAGTATGACCCAAGGCGCTATGTAGTATGTACGCTACGCTTTGACTTGCGTGGTCAACCGTTGATGTTTAGTGACATATGACATGATGACGTAATTGACAATAAAAAAAAATGCTCATTGTTGCTTTATAGTGCACAGGCTACAGGATAGATTTAGATTCACTCGTTACATCCATGATGTTCATTGGCTACCCCGCTGGCCGTAGGAATGTCATCGGGTTCACTGAGACGTGCCTTGGATAGGGTTGTTATCGATCCTCAGCTTTCCGTCTTCTTGTCTTCATATGCTATTGCAACTTTGCAAAGTTGCAATAGCATATGAATCATTCTTACACGATCGCCAGTGACGATGGATAAACGAGGAAACGTTTTCTGGTTGCATGCCATGGATCATCGATCACACAGGCTTTGATTATATTTTGCAAGAAACCCGTGTCGCAGGCCGGAGTAGGGTTTTTGTGTGAAATGTACGACGTGTGTAGTAGTAAATTTGGTAGCACTGACTAAAGTGCGGCATACATGAGCCGTATTTGACGATTCCGGCGGACGGCGTGAGTTGTTGCGATTGTCGATATATTGATTTTTATGCATTTCAATTTATGGTTTTCTGAGCGATTGTTTCAATATAATATTTAACTTTCAGGTGCATAAGGTGAGACAATCACTGTCACCATTTGTTGTCAGAGTTGGATGTGCTGGAACATTGAGATCCGGGGCGAATGATTCCCCATTCAAGGGCAGTAGGGTCCAAATTTGAATATTATTTTCCTTTTTTAAAATGCTTAAAAAAGCAAACACTTACTTGGTGACTACAATGAGCTACAACTAACTACAATGATAACGTTAGGCTGCGTCAACCTCTCCGACCACAGCTTGCGCTTGACAAATGGTTTAAGAGTTCACAGCAGCACGTTATTTTGATTTTCTGTGTGGCCTAATTTGCAAGGTGTTGGTGTTGGTTCGGGTAATCGGTAACTTGGAATGGGATTTTCAGGCTAAACTTTTGTTAGTTGAACCATGTTTGATTATCCTGCCAGTATTGTGATTTTTTCTATGAATCCCCTCTTTTCTGTCTCTACATTTATTATCAGGTGTCATTTATTTTCATCATAAGCAATCTTCTCAGTCCTCAGACCAGTATTGGTAACTAAATTGTTACTGCTTAATGTATTTACTTTAGTCCAATTTGTTGTATCTGTTTCAGAATCAGACAATCCTGAGATGAGCTCAGAGGCACCAGAGCAGCCAACTGCTGAGGATGTCTCCTTTGCTGACATTCTGGACCAACCGGAGGGGTCCAACCCGTCACCTGCGGAGAAGGTGAAGGAGGCTGCTGTGACAGAGGCTCCCTCCACAAATGGAGATGCCGCACCAGAGACAGATGGCACTGTAGAACCTGCAGAGCCGATGGAGGTGTCTGAAGGGGTGACAGGTGCAGCTGGTGATGCAGGGGCCACCTCAGATGAAGTGGCAGCTGCAGAAGAGACCAAGGTGGCTGAAGAAGTGCCTGTGGATGCAGAAGCAGCACCAATGGACGATGAAGCACCGGTCACTGATAATGCACCTGCTGCTGCTGAAGCTCCTGCTGCTGCTGAAGCTCCTGCTGCTGCTGAAGCTCCTGCTGCTGCTGAAGCTCCTGCTGCTGCTGAAGCTCCTGCTGCTGATGAAACAGTTGGTGCTGAGGAAGCACCTACAGCCAAGACTGAAGAAAACTCTGCCCCAGAGAAATTGAAAATGCCTTCAGGGGAGACGGCACCAGCTGAGTCTCCCGGTGAGGCTGCCAGCTCCAAATCCAAAGAAAGCCCAGAACCTGAGCACTCTGCCAAAGAAAGTTCTGCATCAGATTCTGCAACTAAAGAGGATGCTCAGATAGAATCTGTCTCTGAAAAAGCTAAAACTGAATTGAAACCCACTACAAAATCACCAGGACAAGTCGCTAAGCCAGCATCCAAGCAAACAGCAGATACGAAGCCTAAAACAGCCTCGAAAATCACCACTGCAGCTTCAAAGACTGATGCTAAGCCCACCAAGACTGCTGCAGCATCTGATAACAAGTCGTCAGCGCGGAAGCTCCCGCCGGGCGCGGAGCCTATTCGGGAGTTCAGCAATAAGGCCAAGACGCCGGAGCCGGAGCTGACTGAGCTGGAGAAGCTGTGGAAGCCAGTGAAGCAGAACCCAGCGGACTTCACAGCCTGGACGCTGCTCATTCAGTACGCGGAGAACCAGGTACGTGCCCGGAGACGGGAGGGGACGTCTTCTCGGCGAAAAGGTGTGTCCTCCATTCTGTTCAACATGCTGCTTTCCTCCTTTGTTTCATTTTCAGATGCTGGATTTATTACTTTTCGGGTGATAGACAGTGATGTGTCTGTGTGTTTAACCCACTCCTTTCTCAAACAGATTCAGTATGGACGACAAAGAAGCGTAGTAGTCGCAGCTTCCGTAAGCCAAAAACCACCAGGAATCAGGTGATGTTGTTTTGTCGAACACCTCTGAATTTCTGAGATAAATTCATTCTGGTATTCATCACATTTTCTCGAATGAGCCGTCATCCACGTTTCTCCGTCACCCTCGCCCCACTGGACGCTGCGCCACGCGCGCGGCGCCGCTGCTTTGACCGGCATGGGCGGCCAGTGTGTGGCACTGACTGCTGAGGTGCGTGTTCGCAGTGCTTCATGGAGGACATTCGCAGCGTGCTGAAGGCGTTCCTGGCGCGGTACCCCTACTGCTACGGCTACTGGAAGAAGTACAGCGACCTGGAGAAGAAACGAGGCACGATCGAACTCTGTAATGAGGTGAGGGGGAAGACTGTCCCTGGGCTAAGATTCTTAAGAGAATGTTGAGAGAATGACAGTAAGTACCTCGCACTCAATTGATTTAGTGGTAGGTTTCTTTCTAGAGCCCCTTCTTGCTGGATGTTGGGCTTTTTTACCGCACATAAGCTGCCTTATGCCCGGAGCGGACTCGTCGCGCTACCAGGCTACAGATCGCTGCGCTCAGGCTCTGAGATATGTGTGGGAACTGACCCCGGTCCCTGACGCCCCTCAGGTGTTTGAGGCCGGCCTGGCGGCGGTGCCTCTCAGCGTCGACCTGTGGCTCCACTACCTGCACCACCTGCGGTCAGTGTATGAAGACAAACCGGAGGTGGTGCGCGCCGGCTTCGAGCGGGCCGTGGCCGCCTGCGGCACAGAGTTCAGGTGAGGACACACAGAGTTACGGTGAGTACACACGAAGTTAAGGTGAGAACACCCAGAGTTCAGCTGAGTCACCGCACATTTGCATATCACGGAATTCAGGCGAAATCGTCAAATATGTACCAGCCTGTACGTTCTCTTCAGATCGTTCTGAGACTATCACGGAAATTTGAGGAGACTGAGTTGCCATTCCCTGACATGGTATTTTTGACAAGTTGGTCTGTTTGCTTGAGCTAGTTGATCTGACCTGGCGCCCCTTCCTCTTCTAAGTCGAATAGTCTGCAGTAGCTACCTATTCGTGATCTGACCTCAATGACCTGATGCTCTCCCCAGGCTAGACTGCCTCTGGGAATAGTACATCATCCGACCTGACCTGACCTAACCTGACCTCTCCCCCAGGTCGGACCGTCTCTGGGAGCAGTACGCCAGCTGGGAGGCAGCCAACAAGGAGCCGGTGAAGGCGCTGGCCGTCTACAAACGCGCCATCGCCGTGCCGACTCTCTCCTACAGGACGCACTTTGAAAAGTAGGTGACGAACGATGGAAGGCTTATCACTGGTGCTCTCAGATGTTACGCCAATCATTTTGATGTGGGTGACTTCATAAAGGTATAGGTATGAGTTTGATTTTGTATTGACTCATGCGTGCAACTGCTCTAGCATGTCGATTTTTTAAATAGTTTGCTTTCTGTCATCAAATCTTGATGTAGGTATTCAAGGTTTGATCGGCAGCACATTCCCCAATAAGTGGTTGTACAGGGTGTCCAGAAAAAAAAAGATACTACGGAAATTAAGTCGCATTCATTAACGCACGTGCCGATTTTGTTCCAAATTCATGTGCTTATAGTGCAAGATTTGGCAAAACTCATGAGCACTGTAATGCGTCGTTGGAAAGTTGTCTGCCTGCCCTCCAAGATGGTCAACATGACCATCAGTCACCTGCAGACTGTGCTAGTGCTGGAGCTGATCCGCCGTAAGGCCGCTCACATTGAGTATCTGCTTTGAGGAGCTGCCGCAACTAACCAAAGAGTTTACATGCCATGTGGCAGCTGCTGTCTGTTTTGCCATATTTCGGCGAATACAAGCATGTGCCATTTTAAAATGTAAGGTGTTTATTTTCGGAATTACAGCAAAAAATAATAGTATCCGTTTTTTCTGGACACCCTGTATGTACTTAAAATTATCGCGTTGGGTCCTATGCGTGCCTTCTCGGTGTTTCCTTGACCACTTCCCTCCCCCGGTCAGCCTGGAGCAGTTTGTCGGCGAGACGCCGCCGCAGGAGCTGCTCACCGTCGAGGAGTTTCTGGAGGCGCGCCGCGCCGTACTGGCCGAGCTGCGGGCCTCGGAGCCGGCGGCGGCGCCCCCTGCAGCCTCCACGGACCTGCTGCCGCCCGGCTGTGACGAGCCGCCGCCCGGCGTGCCCGCCCAGCCGGCGGGACTGGTGAGTGGCGGCCGAGGGTGGTCTGGTGGGGACAGACTAGGGAATTGCGGGAGCACCCACTGAGTAATCAGGGTACCGGGCATGTGCTGCACTTTGTGAAGTATACGTATTCTATGCATATGGTATTGTTCCCTGTTTCGACGGTTTCATTAGCTGATTTGTGTTATCGATATTGTTTGTTTCGGTGTTAGTCCTGACTGTCTCATTTTTGTCCCTCGCCTCAGAGCTCAGACGAGGAGTGTGTGAAGCTTCGCGCCAAAATTCTGGCGCCACTGCGTCAGCTGCACAAGGACACGGAGAAGCAGGTCTCGCTCAGATGGAACTTCGAGGAGGGGGTACGTAACACATTTCATATCCTGCTGTTGAGGCTGTACTTATCTTTACTGCTTTATTTTCCTATTGTTCAGAGCATTTGATTGATGATTCCATATTTTTAGCAGGAGACATAATATCGGACAGATCAGTGTCGCTTGTGCTAGGAGTTTCTCTGGTCACTGATGATAAATGTTCGTTGGGGCAGCTATTGATTCGACTGTTCGTTCACAGCCAGAGGGCTTGAAATCCTAGATTATTTGTTTTTATTTACGACGTCCATGCTGGCTTCGTATTGCTGTATCTTTTAGTAACATTGTCGTCTTTCGTACTGGGAATTACCTGACTTAATGTCTCCCGTCTTCCTCACAGATCAAGCGTCCGTACTTCCACGTGAAGCCTCTGGAGAAGGTGCAGCTGAAGAACTGGAAGGCCTACCTGGAGTTTGAGATCGAGCAGGGCGACAAGCACCGCATCCATGTGCTGTTCGAGAGGTGCATGATCTCCTGCGCTCTCTATGAGGAGTACTGGCTCAAGGTAACTGGACTTTCGGCATTGGTGTACCGGGTGTCCCAAAAGTAAGGTCATGATTTAAAACTTAAATATCTCGAGAAGTAAGAGTCCGAATCACTTCCAATTTTAACACGTGCAAGGTACATCCATAAAATTATTTTCTTGCATGCTTAAACCATTTTTGATCATAACTACACCGAGCAGTAGGCTTAAAACTGAGAAGGTCGAAATTCAACTCTTAGAGAGGGTCCGTCATTAAAACAAAGGGTAAATACCGCCCAGTTTTCGGCCCTAAGCAGACCCTATCAGCTCGCCCTATCTCTGAACTCATGCATAGTTTCGCCTCAACCGGTAAAACGTCAGAAAAAAAGGTATAATGTACGCACAGGACATGTATACTTAGCCACCTGTGCTTCGAGGTCCTGAGGACGACAGCGGGAATCGGGTGAAAATAAATCAAGAGAGGGGGCCGAGAGTCCTCCCAGTGGTTCTTCCGCTCGTCGCAACGCAGCTATGCCGACACCATCAACCAGCAGTGGTTTCAGCAGGATGGAGACTATGCTTGCACCGTCCTGAAGATCATGCATTGTCTCCGAGAGTGGATGTGAGATCGCATAATTTTCAGTCAGGGCAACGCCATTGAAGGCCTCCGCGGTCACCTGACGTTACACCTTCATATTTTTATTCTCTGGGTACACAACGGAAAGGTTGTCTTTTAGGACAACCCAACGAGCCGGGAAGAACTAAAGGATGATCCCTCCGAGCAAACATAAGCGGCATCTCACCAGAGAATCGCTCCAGAATAGTGGAGGAAGTAAAACGCAGTCTATTCGTGCACGCGGCCCGAAATGGTAGCCATGCAGAAAAGCAGCAAATGTGGGGCTACGAGCCAATGTATTGACTCATATGTATGTCAGAATGAAATTTTATAAAATGCTCTTTCATATGATGTCCTATTTATTCCTATCCATCGCGTATTTTTGGCGGTGTGGCCAAAACAAATGATGACCTTACTTTTGGGACACCCGGTATGTTGCGTAACATATTGCCATGTGTGATGCACATACTTCAATAGTATTTTGCCTTTTTCGATGCTTTCACCTTAGCGACTACCCGCGACGTGCCTTGGTGACCTCTAAGAAATAATGATTTGTGGAGTTTCATCAATCCAAAGTACGGAACGCACTGAATAATTTACTAGCGTCCTAGTTACCAGGCACTTAAATCCTCTGGGGACTCTCCCCTTCTGACCTGCCTGACGGATCTGTCTCCCTTTCGTCAGTATGTGCGCTACCTGGAGTCTCTGGAGCCGTGCGACTGGGACGCGGTCCGCTCAGTGTACCGGCGCGCCTGCTGGACCCACCTGCCCGACAAGCCGGCCATTCACCTCATGTGGGCCACCTTCGAGGAGAAACAGGGTCAGTTCGGGCCACGGGGTGGGGACGATGGGACTGAGGAGTTGGGGGAATGGATGGTTGTGGGATGGTGAGGGAATGGAGTTACTATATGTGCCCTGATTTGGGATTGAAGCGAAACTGCTATGTGGCGAGAATGCCAGCCGCGGATACAACATGACTTGATAGGCTATAACGGAAGTGGACATAACAGTTTTCGAACACTTATAGTTTACTTTTCGAGATATAAGGTGTAAGGTGTTGCTGACTACTGCTTAACTGCCTTAGGCTGATAGTGTGGTGTTTTCACCCTCAGCATTCCGCTGTCTAATTTGTTGAAGACGTACAGGACTTTGGGCATATATCGATCCCTGATCCCCGTCAGTTGACCCCTTCTTACTTTCACCTTTATCAGGTGACCTGGACGCCGCCGCCGAGGTGATGCGGAGAATCAGCGCCCAGGTCTCGATGCTGGAGGTAACTCTGCGCAGCATCAACCTGGCCCGGCGCGCCGGAAAGCTCGACGCCGCCGAACGGATGTACGCCGAGGCGCTGAAGAGCACCGAACACCGCGAGACGGCCGTCGTCATCGCCGTCAAGTTCGCCCGCTTCCTGAATAAGGTGAATAAGTGACTCCCTACCATCGTTCCTTCAGAGATGAGTTGGACAAGAGAGTGGACTATTTAGTTACTGAAATGTGTATATTATTGTATCCATTGTTATTAAGTCGCTAACTAGACCCACTTTTCTCCAGATTCGCGGCAATCGCGAGAAGGCGCTGGAGGTTCTGAAGGAGGCCATCCGGCTCGACCAGACCAACATGCGTCTTTACATGCAGCTGGTGGACGTGGCCTTCCAGAGCCGACCGGTGGATGTCGCCCTGGTCAAGGAGACGTTCCAGACGGCCCTGGAGGCGCCGTTCGAGCAGAAGGACAAGCTGACGCTAACACACCGGCGAATGGAGTTTCTGGAGGAGTTCGACACGGACGCAGAGAGGTGAGCGATGAGTGTTCCATTTCGTCATGACAGTTTTATAAAGGAATGTTGTGGTTTGTTTGTGTGCTTTACATATAATGATATTATCTTTGTAATTGACTCGTCCGATCCACGAACATTCAGGGTCAGGTCACTGGCCGCGAAGTACCGTTTCCTCCTTGACTTAAGTCGCCGCCGATTCCTCTGACCCATCCCCTCCCGTGGCGATATGGCCCGCAGCATTCAGAAGGCGCACGAAGAATACTACGGCCTGCTGAAGGTCGTCAAAGCCGAGGCCAAGAAGAAGAAGCAGGAGGAAGAGGCCGCCGCCGCCGCCTCCAAGGCGAAAACCCCCTCCGGCAAGCGGAGCGCCTCAACCTCTTCAAACGGGTGCGTGTCTAATGGTCACTAACGGAATCGAATGGTGGTTCGTAATCAGATAGATCATATTTTCGTCCGAAAGAATGGTATACACTTAGCTATTCACTTAAGGCCGCCGTCCACTGCGACGGAATTCCGTCCGGAGTCCGTCCGGAATGTCGCCGCATCCGGTCCGGATGCGGTCCGGATGCGGTCCGGATGCGGAGAGCTAATAAATGTTTCCTATCACTTTTTACCAAATAAAATATTGCAAGTAACCAGCAGCGAATACTCTTGCCATTCTAAGGAAATAATATTTACTTACTTCATGATGATCGAGTTCCAATTCTTCGTACAATTCACAATGTTTGCCTCCGATACGGCCCCAAACCACGTCTGTTCCGGACGTTCCGGATGCGTTTTCCGCAGGAAAGTTCAACGCGTCGGACATCACTCTTCCGTCTCCGTAGCAACCGCATCCGAAACGCATGCGGAGAGCTGACGGAAAATCAACAGCTGATTGCCGTTCGGATGCGGTCCGGACGGAGCGCACACGATTTCCGTACGGACCGGATGCGCCCATAGGGTTCTGTGTTAAATTCCGTACGGACCGCACGCGTTCCGCACAGTGGACGGCGGCCTTTACAGTTACCCTTGTTAGTTGCTTTTAGCTCGTGACGATAAATGTCGAAATCACTGGACTTACACCACTCCAGATTCAGTTTACTGATGTCTGACCTCTGATATGAGGACCTCTGACCTGACCTCTGACATCCCGTCGACAGGACGGACAAGAAGGCGCGCACGGACTCGACCTCGGGCGCCGGCAGCGGCACCCACATCCCCACCATCACCGAGACTCCGGCGCGGGCCACCAAGGCCGCCCCGACACCCTACCGCGGCGCCGCACCCGGCGCGCCGGGGCCCCAGTTCTCCCAGCCGCCCCCGGTTCCGCCGCAGGCTGCCTACCAGGGCTACAACCAGATGCCCCCGCAGCAGCAGCAGCCGTACCAGTACCCGCCGGGCGGATACCAGCAGCAGGGGGCGCCCGGCTGGACCGGCTACCCGCCCCAGTACAACTACAACCAGTACGGACAGGGCTACCAGTACCCCTACCAGTAGCGGTGACATGAAGAAAGTCTGGTGTGATTCTCGGCCGATAGGTGTCTCTGCGGACGGTGAGGTTCAGTTTATCATCTTGAGACCGATTTGAGGCGAGCTGACAAGACCGAGGGACCTTGAAGTGTTTTGTACGGGAGTGATGTGATGCACAGACCATTGTGTGAAGTGATGGGGTCTTGTGACAGCTGGGATTTCATTTGGCTGCGTCGGAGCTGCTCTAGGTCCTCCTTGTGCTATGAACGTGCGGATCGACTCGTGGTGGCTCCATGGTCATTCTGGGCCACCCGTACTGTCTCCCATGGTGTGTGTCACTGGCCCGGGTATTCGCCATACGTCAGGGTTATTCATTTGATCACCACACTTCTCGTGTTGTGCGCACGGGCGGTCATCAATAAACTGATACTGAGTATCGCTCTACGCGTATTTACTGACAGTACGACCTGTTGGTAGGTTGGAAGAACGTTTGTATTGATAGCTGCACAGGATTTCACACTATGTGATGAAAATCTTGCGATGGGGTAAGCTCAAGGCATTGTCACCTACCTGGCACCACCGGCAGCGCACGAGACTGGCAGTCCGGCGGACCGGAGCGCGGCCCGCCGCACTTCAGCGGGCGGTCACCCACTGCGTGATGAAAATCGTGCGATGGAGTATGCTCAAGGCACTTGCATATTTGGCCTGTGCTTTTTGCGAGAACTGCGAAGGGGTGAAACCTCTACCTGCATCCGCAATTCCTTTGTACTTGGCTGCCCTATTGGTTATTTTTATCGATATTTTGTCTTTCTCCACTTTTTGCGTATGGTCGATGGCATCACAAGTGTAACCTATATCACCCTTCACGTCCCACAAAGCCATTCAGCCTCGATTCCCTCAGACATACATCATTGGCCGATGGGCGCCGTTGTCGGCTGGCCGGCGTCCAGAGGTCGCCTCCCTCCCCCCGGCCCCCTGGGTCCCCCGGCGGGCCGCTTATCGCAGTCATTAGCACTCTTACCCCTGCCAGCGGCCGGTTATCCATCTGCTCGGCTGGACACAACATTTCCGCGCGCATCTCCGGCGACGCGAGCCAACCCGGCCCGCGCCGAGCGACGGTCACGGGGGGAGGGGGGAGGGAGGACAGACGGGTCAGGGCGTCCGGGCGTGAGAGTGGTTGGTGCGTGGAAGGCGAATGAATTTTACCAAATGAAGCATTAACGCTTCGAGGCTGGTGATGGCCCGATCCACGGTAGTCTAGTCGGTATGTTCGACTGAACGAATTAGTTATGGAAATCTAAGTACGGGCTTACGGAGCCTGAACAAAATCCACTTACGGAGCCGTGTGTTCAGCCTAACTTGATGATAAGGCATCTTATTCGGCGCATCGATTCGAGACAACGCAGATACGAGTGCCGCCCTTATTAGCCCTCCTCTCGCTGGCCTTGGAGCTCGATCTGTCATCTCGGCGGTGAGCTCCCGTCCTGCAGTCGTGTCCCTGCACTTTAATACGGTGCTCGGCGGCTGTCGGCGCTCGCCGTGGTGGCATCTCCTCCAGCCGGCATATCCCGACTTCAAAGCCTCCAACTCAACAGGACCGGGTGTTTCCGGAGTCTCCGGCCCGCCGCCTCGGGCTGTCCTCTGTAATCCGCCGCCCCCGCCCCCGCCCCCGCCCCCGCCCGTCCCAGCTGACGTGTGGAGATCTCAACAGGCTGCGGCCCCAATGGGCGCCGGTGAAAACAATGGACGGTTGAGAGGGAGCCTTCTGGCCTCCGGCAGCAGGGCCGTGTCTTCAAGGCGGCTTCTGTTGGGACAGATCCCTGGTCTTTTCTGTGATTTTGAAAAGAGCGGATCCGTAGGCTCGATAGCGTGAGCTATCTACCTATACGGGCTTTATGCGTTGCATGGCAAAATAGAGTTAACTTGATACGGTTCATTACGATTCACAGTCAAAAAGGCCATTTGACCGTTCTAATACAGGAACAGGATTCTACTCTCCATACCCGATGCCAACAGGAATGTCGTGATTCTGACCAGCCATCTGTACCCTTGTTCATGCTACTTCGCCTGCGCGGTTTTGCGGTTGCAACCGAGACAAAAATGGAACGCAAACCGTAAAGGGTCAGCTCCGCTGGAAGTAACCGTTTGATTTGAGTGGCGGGGTGGCCTATTCCACCGGAACACTTCTGTCCCAGCGGAAGTGTACTCAGCAATGGTGTAAGCGTAAAGCGAACGCACTAAGGTGCAACGATCGGTGGTTAACTCGGCCCTAATGTCTTCCCAATAGCATATTCATTTACTACATTATCTTGAAATGGTTGTTGGATCGAATGGTCCTACCAAAGAAGCCTAACGTAGAAGTCTGTTCCCTGCTTAACCCTCGCCGGCCGAGAGGGGGGGGGGGGGCGGGTGCCGCCCCCCATAGGGTTTTTTCGCGATAGCTCCGAACACGCTGGCGATAGAGAGCTGAAACTTAGTATACCTGACCTTTGATTCAAGCCGAATCTTTTGACACCAACCGCATTTTTGGGTCAGGTCAGGTCACTGACCTATGACGTCATACGTGAACCTCTGCACGGTCTTCAGATGTCGCAACTTCGCAACGCCCTCACTGCCAGAGGAGATGTCACAGGGAAATGAAACTTGCAGGATCTAGTATCCATTATGAGTCTCACAACTTGTATATCTCGGATTTTTCCCAAAGGTCATATGAGGTCAGGTCATTTTCGTGACCTCACCATTATAAGTCAACGGGGAAAAATGAAAACCGCTATTCTGGCGCCGGGAACGATCTCCTACTATCTCAAGCACACAGAATCGTGATTTGATGCACTCCTTGCAAGGTTAGATGCGTCACTTTTGCAATGTTGACCTTGCGTGACGTCATTTATGACGTCATCAAGGTCATATTAGTTTTTCGTCAATAACTCTTGATCAAATTGAGCTAGCGAGTCGGGAAAGCCACCAATGGACTCAGGAAGACCTGCCGAATCGAATGCTATGCGACATGACCTCTTTCGACCAACTTCGTGACCTGGGGGTGCTGACCTGACCTTGACCTGAGGTCAACACCCCAAGTTGACCTGACCCTGACAAAAAGTATATCATTCGACGCGCCTGAGCGAGGCGAACACGATGCTTCCAAAATCGCGGCTCTGCGGCCGTTTTTTGCGAAGTTATTCACCAAAAACTGAACCGTACCTTGGGGCACTTGACCTGACCTCAGAGGTCACCGGTTGACCTAGGACCTTAAAATCGGGTACCAATCTCTGTGTCTCGTAACGGCGCACACGCTCGTTTTTTCTGCGACGCGCTAGCTCCACCAGGGGCGAAACGGCGAGGGGGGTCGTACCCCCCCCCCCCCGGCCGGCGCGTATGTAAAAAACCAATAGGTCCGGCGAGGGTTAAGTAAGGAACGGCATGTGATTAATTCGCCATCACGTCACAGTTTTATGTGTTCGGTGGCACAGGATACCAATCAGGTATGCAGTAGTTATGGTACGTACTTACCCCCCCCCCCCCAAAAAAAAAAAAACAGTCAATATTGTCCAACTTCTTGCTTCTCAGCAGCTGGAATGTAGGGCGTCACAATGAAGACACGCAATGGGTCATCAGCAACGGAGGTTCCTCATCGACATGGCGATAGTTACATGTCGCGTTGAAGACCGGCCTAGACGTAGCTATGTGTAATGACTCGCGACGCGTACACGATGATTGTGCGCAAAGCTCAATTGCACCGACCTCTTAGGTGAAGATGCTTTACTGCCTCAGCTGACAACGTCCTTGTCTCGATGATTAAAGCCGTATACATAGTAGGTAATGATTTATGTGCCGCATTCTAGCTCTCGCTCTTCGCGACTTTCAGAGCTACTTAGGAACCTCAATACGGTACATTTATGAGATAATTGTTACTTCAGCACCGTAGGAATAAACGTTCACTTGCATTCTTCGATATACAGTTCCATAACTCTATGGCGTCTCCGATAACCTCAACTGCCGTGATTCGCCATCGGGACCGGCGCTATCTGTCCCTGTCTGCCACTTTTTTCACGGCCCGTCCTCCGGTCATCGATAACCAACCATTACATGTCGTCAGCAGCGTCCCGGGCGCCGCTGATGCGTCGCGTATGCCGCCCTGTTTGCATGGCGCGTCACATCGGTCTCCATTTGTGACGGCGATTTCTGCAGGCGGCCCACGCCGCCGCGACCGACGCGACGGGGGCGCACCTCGTGCGGCAGTTAGTGGGCGGCATCGGCACGGGCGACAGGCGCCGACGGTCGGACCGCGACGGGCCGAGCGACGGAGTGACTACGGCTGCGACGGCGGGGCGAGCTCTCAGTGACTGCGTACGGGACGTCGGATATCTCTGCAGGTCTGTAAATTGCAGGTGCTTGTGTAGATGAGTTGTGATGCCAGGCATTGTGTACGCTTAGTCCCTGTCATTACGGGGCCAAGCGATGAGAGGTTCGTCGTTTAATTGGGCTAGAATAGAGTAACCGTTAAATAGAGAGCACAGTATATTTAGAAGTGACCTTCATGCATACAGGTGATTCTCTTTATTCAGTACATGGCGAAAATGCATCGAGAGTGACCCGGGCCAAATTTACCTTTACGATTAGCCGTAGTGGCATTTATAACCTGTCTTACGCAGGCCGCAATTTCTCTACGAGTGTCCCCGATAGCTGTAGCTGATCGACCACTATCTGTCGTTATCAGTCCCTGTGTAACCACTGGCCAGTTCGTAACCAGGCACGACATTAGCGTCACCGTTTGTCTTTAGTTGGCCGGTATTCCAGGACATAAAATCATCATATAACGAGCACCGTCCTAGCATCGATTGCACTCCGCGCTGCTTCACGTCGATATTTGATTGCAGCGTCTCTATGCATAAATTATCGCTCTGACACCGTGTATAAGTGTGTAGTGTGTACTTGTCTGTCTAGCGTACGTGAATAACGAGGAATGATAATGATGAATAATTACATGATTAATAATAATCATGCGTATAATAAGAAAACTCGTAGGTCGGTTATAAGGGATGGCCGATGGTCTGAATCAGTGGGAAATTAGCAGAGGCAGATGACATTGAATTGGCCGTGAATGTTATTCATGAGCGCTTTGTTTTGCTGAATAGGCCGTAATGATATATGGTGCCGTGGTGAGAGCCGAGAGGGCACATGCCCGGCAACTGATCAAATGCATTCTGATATATAATATTGGAAACAAAAGAAAGTGGATTACATTGCTTCAAAAACACTGCTATCGGATATTTATGAGAAATGTCATAGCTGGCGCATTTCTTTGCTCTTCAACAGACGTTGAGCCCGTTTCAGTGTATGTTTTAGCCGTCATAAATTCCGCCGGTAGCTGCACTGTCAATATGATCGGACAGTACCCCGTTCACCAGCACCCACACAGGCGATTCGATCGGGAACCAATCGCAGCGATCGTCTGCCAATTCACACGCGGGTCAACACGCCACGTGTATGGACGGCGGTCTATTTTGGACACTCGCACAAATGGATGATCGACTCGAGCGCTAGGCTGCCGATGAGTGTGTGTGTCTCAAATATCCGCTTCGCTACGAGCTGCGATCAGTCACTTTATTGGCGGAAAAGAAGGTGGTGAAGCGATATCATATTTTGTTCCATTAGTGAATTAGAAATATATTTGAGCGTATTATTCAAAACGATCTGTTGAGTCCGTTACTTGAGATAACCGATTGGGCTATGGTAGAACGATAAATCTGTATATAAAAAAACGTTTGTTATTGTTGCATTTCATCATCAATCGTTGGCCGTTTTCAGTCGCAGCTATGTGATCAGTCTGTGGGGTCAGAGGGTGGATGAGAGTGTTTGTGGGTGGGTCTCTGGAACCGCCCCTCGTCTGATGGATGTCTAGTAACGACGGCTGCTCCAGAAACCGTTCACACCCGACCAGACACCCCATCCTCTCTCCTAACCTTCCCCCTCCCTCTCCCTGCCCGACACTCGGCCACATCTCACCGAACATTCATCCATCGTTTATAGCCGAACGAAGCTCTGGAAACGTCCTGCTGCAATGGCATGAAGGGTCGTCCCGTCTTTTCGCGACTCGTCACTACCTACCTGACATGACCTGAACTCTAGCACGAGACCTGACTTGACCATGCCAATAATCATGGCCTGTCATCGCTAGGAAGATATGACCTTAACCGCACCCACCCAGTAGAAGCAATATAATTTTCTACCAATCAATTTGCCGTTACCCTTTCATGGAGACACGACCTGACCCTTCTTGGAAACGGATGCTGACCTTGTCATGGATAACTGACCAAAGTCTATCTTGCGGACCTGACCTAGCCTCACCCTGGTGACAGCTTGCCCTCCGCCGTCTGCCCGCTGCACAGCCTGCCTGCTCCTCGACCGGCGCCAGGGGTGTCCGTCGCCCTCCACCCTCGGTAAGGGGCCGAGGTCTCAGATTATCAGCGTTCGCTGTGAGTGATGCCGACATCCATCCCAGAGCACTCCAGGGAGAGGCCTCCAGTGATGGATCCTACGTCACAACCATTGTCCCCGAGTGTGAGATAACAGGACGGTATGGGTGCCTACAGGGTGGCCGGAAGTTGAGGGGCTCGGCAGGCAACAATAGAAAATTAAATATGGATGAAAAGAACGATGGAATAGCAAACATGTAGGTAGGTACAATATCCATGGGTGTATCGTGACTGTCGTTCAGTAGTCACGCCAGTGATCGCTCGCATTTACCTATCCACATAATGGTTGAAAAGGCTGCTAGATAAGCAGAGGCTGCGCATTGTGAGTGATCAGAAAGCAGCTCTAACAGTGAAATGGGCAGCGCGATTTGGACGTTTTGAGTCGTAATTGGAATGAGCTGAGATCGAATCTGTCAAATGGGGCGGTAAGCCTTGCCACCAGAACAGCTTTTTGGTTTTAACAAGCAGCGATTCAATCAACACCATTAGGAGCTGAAAAACTGCTGCATGAGTGACAAATGTGTCTCATTTATCTAACTTGTTTGTCTTTTTACTTTGCTTTAGCTAACAAGATTTAGCATCGTACTTGACCTTGTGCTTTAGCAGGAAAAATCCTGGTGGTATTGAAAAGATATATTCATAGCGTAAAGCCATGGTTGTCTTTTTATATGATTGGGTAAAGTATTTATATAATCGCATGCACATTTACCTATAATGTATCAGGTAACCGCATGGGCCGCATACCTAATTTGGGAAGCCAGCCATGGATATATAAAAAACGCCCTCACAAAGAATGCTTATTGTAGCACTTACATACGACATACTTAGTCAATAAATCGACTTTCCGCCGCAATGAAGACTCACTGACCATTCAGAGTCATCCCAGACCACTCTGGAAGCGCCAAACAGGTGCCCTCATGCGGAACCGATCCTCCATGAGCGGCCCCGCTCGGAAGATGAACGGTGGCCGCCGCATATCCTGCGGGCAGCGTTTTTTTCACATGTCCGTTCCGTTGCCGGGCCCCGCCGGCCGCCGACCAAGCAGTCAATCACGGTCTCGGGCTGAGGAAGCTGCCCTGCGTCCACTGATACATCCGCCCGGACGAGCAGCGCGGGACGGACGGGACGGAGAGAAGGGGAGAGAAGGATGCAGATTGTGTGGTAGAGGAGGGGGAGTGAATGGGGAACTTGGGAAAGTGAGCGAATAGATGCCTCATATGTGTCGAAATCTTGGTAGTTGAGTTGGGACCAACTAAACTATAAACGTTTATAGGTATCTATAACATTTATAGCATTTACATTCTTTGTAGATAGTATATGTACAATGTAGGGGAAGCCGGGGGAAGCCCGGGCGCGGGGGAAGCCCGGCCACCCCGTTTCCGGCTAAATTATTCACAATAAAATGCTCAACTGTTTGTCCTTTCAGCGTGGCAGCTAAGATAACGCCAGAAAAAAGTTAAGGCTAACAAAAATTGAATATTGTTAAAGTTATAGCGCAAAAATGATATTTTAAGGGTTTTTAGCTAAAAAGTGAGATATGTTGCACTGTTAATGTTATACCATACAGTACTAATGTTTATACGAATGTTATGTAAGGACCGTTTAAGTGTTTGTAGTGAGGGGTGACGAGGCAGACTGGCTTAAGTATGACATTTTTTTCGAATATCGCTGTTCTAAAATAAAAATTAGCACATTGGGGTAACCCCGGGCGAGTGTCCAAGCTTACCCCCAACCGAGAGCAATGCCACTAAACCACTGTTTTCCATGAGATAATAGGTACTGAGCAGGTTTGGTTTACACCTAGATCAAAGATAAATTTCTAAAATAAACATGTTATCATAGACAAAGCCAGTCATGTCACTTAAGGTCAACTAGGGTCAAACTACGTTTTTGCAGATAACGCGACAGACAATGAAGCTAGAGCTTCAAAAATGGTGTCGTTGTGTTCGTCTTCATCAGCCGAGTCGAATGATATGCAATATGATGCATTAAGGTAAAAAGAAAAACAAATTTCAAGGAATTTTGAAAACAACATTTTTTGTCAATTTTGCATCACGATTTTCATCGACCTGTACTAGTGTATATGTGGTAGACGCTAGCTAAAATACCAGAAGCGACATAAACTCTAAGATGTCCAGAGCTTATCAGTACCTTAATATTTCACTTTCCGTTAATATTTGGAAGACACATAATGGTTTCATCAACTCGTTGTAAAGCGCTGGGGAGGTGGCCGGCGTTACCCCTATGCCGGGCTTACCCCAGAAAAATCAACACTTTTTTAAAACTCGATTTTCTCAACCTTATACTTATTCCACGAAACCGAATTTTTGGGAAAACACGGCCAATGAACTTAGCTAGCTAAAAAGATATCAACATTTTATACAGCACGTATGGTATGTAATAAAAATGAAAAAGAGCTTACTATGCCGGGCTTCCCCCGGCTTCCCCTACACATGTATGCAACAAATGCAATCAGAAATCTAGTAGGCGCACCGAAAGAAGCAAGAATATAACACGAATAAATTGAACAAACATTAAAATTTGCACATGCCTATCTAAAGGTCATGTGGATACGCCCCTTTGTCAAACAAATACTGAGTCTATCGAAATTATGTGAAGTCTGAATAAAGGATATGCGTTGCTAAAAGAGGCATTGATATACACCTTGTACTGCCTGCTGAGAGGGTTCATTTCCCCTTCCAGAGCATTGCTTCAACTTCGGTCAAGATCCATGCTGGTATACCCCGTTCTCTTCGCAGTCTTCGTTTGCAGGTGAGTTGCATACCAGCCTCCACGTGATAAATTTGTGTGATTTAGGAGTATGGAGCCTTTTCGCCGTTTTAAATATCATAGTTCTCAAGGAAACTCGACAAGGACAAGGACATATTCGCGAATGAAACTCGACAAGGAGAAACAGATTATTCCGTTCAGGCGTTGAGTCGCGCAAAATGTTCAAACATAAAGCGATCAAGTTCTTCATAAAAGGAAACATTTTTACTCGTGCCCGGCCATTGGGGTCTTTGTTCTTGCTGAATTATAGTATCTTATATAATCATTTGTTGCTTCGCTTGTGTTTGACATGTCTTGATATTGCTGCTTATTGCTCAAAGTAATGGAAGCTTTGCCATATACTTCATGCTTTTAGTGTGTATTGAACTCTTTACCTACGTAAGCGTTCCAGTCAACTATGATCACAAGATCGCTGGATTTTCTGGACAAAATGTCACAGCCACATATTCATCATCACGCTGACACTTCTATGCATGAACATACGAAATTTACAGCATAAAAACGGCTAGATTGTCATGCGAATTTCATTCCAATCTACTACGGCCGATGCTGGCGGACGTGGCGTTGCGCTGTGTTCTTCCAGACTCAGGTAATGAGAAACCTCGTCCGGGCTCAATTACCTACTATTACCGAGTCAATTACCGGGTGAGCTGGTGGTCCTCACCATGGCTAAGGTGGCTCGTTATACGCCTAACCCGACCTCATCTACGGCTCTGCGTAAACAGACATTGGCTTACTATGAATGCACCAGCCGGGCGCCAGTGCAGCGGTGAGCTAGTAGGCAGGCATGCGCCAGCTTTGCGGCGAATGCATCGCACATTTGACAATTATTGTCCCAAATGAATGTTGCAGAGGCTGGAGGCCATTGTCATAAAGGTAGCAGCGAGTGACTAACACTGGAACTCAGCAAAATTCATTACTTTATACCTAACATAAAATTCAAAAAATGATTAAATTGATTTTTTTTAAATTTAGTCCGAACCTTTTGATGGGAAGGATTCACAAGGACAGAGCCACCGCTAAGCGAAGCTTGTTGCGATGACCCTGCCCTCTACCCTCCGATCGCGCAATTCCAGTTCTATGGCAGAATTTAGAGTCCAAATTTTAACGTGCGCACATAGCCGCGCACGGCCGGTCCCCTCACTGACTTCGCCTGGCTACGGCCTGCCACCAACCGCAACCATACCTGTCAGGAGGCCCATAAATGTCAAGCGCCCGTCGCGCTTCGAACCCGGACTGTTGCAACCGGGAACGCGTGCTCTCACCACGCGGAGTCCAACGCTCTACCAACTGAGCTACGGGACCGGCAAATTTAACTCCTACGGCAAGTAACTCCTAACTAGCAAACTTAACTCCTATTTACCGGCAAATCGTTAACTTCTACGGATTTTCCGTAGAAGTTAACGAATTTACGATCCATTTCAAATTACTGACAAGACCTTAGGACAAAGGATAGCAAGGAATAGTTTCGGCACGTCACATTCAATGATGCGTTGCAGTGAACATACATAGGTATAGGTCTACACAACTAGCATAGGTATGCAGGCTACAAAAAAGGTTTGAATCATCAAATGTTGCATAACGTCTCGCAACCTTTTACAAAAACATGATAAGATTCGAGTACATATATTTGTTGTTTGAAATTTAGGTCCTTCTTTTCCTGCTTTACCTGCTGCGAGCAATGGTCTGGATTTAGGTTTTATTTTGGGATTCTACTCACCTCTAGTTAGAAAGTGTTCTGAATGCTAATCAGCACGTCGCTTGCTTCCAGTGTGGTCTCCATCCAGCAGAATAACCATCGCAATGTGTCGTTTCTCCTGGACAGCCTGCTGAGTGGGTATGACAACAGCCTGCGTCCGAATCTAGGAGGTAGGCGGTTTTGGAACGCGTCGTGCGGTTCAGACAAGTCGTCAACCAGCCATGTAATGTCTTCGCAAACGGCGGATTGAGCTTCATGTCTGTGCGTGTGTCTGTTTCTCTGTCTGTCTGTCTGTCCGTCCGTCTGTCTGTCTGTCTGTCTGTCTGTCTGTCTGTCTGTCTGTCTGTCTGTCTGTCTGTCTGTCTGTCTGTCTGTCTGTCTGTCTGTCTGTCTGTCTGTCTGTCTGTCTGTCTGTCTGTCTGTCTGTCTGTCTGTCTGTCTGTCTGTCTGTCTGTCCGTCTGTCTGTCTGTCTGTCTGTCTGTCTGTCTGTCTGTCTGCCTGCCTGTCTGTCTGTCTGTGTCTGTCTGTCTGTCTGCCTGTCCTTCATTCTCTCCCTCTCTCTCTCTCTCTCTCTCTCTCTCTCTCTCTCTCTCTCTGTTTCTATATCTCTCTCCTCTCTCTCTCTCTTTCTCTCTCTCCTTCTCTCGTCCTCTTTCTGTCGCCCTTGCTCCCTCTTGCTTATCATGGTCATGACCATTAGTCTTGCTGTGATTGTAGATAAATGTAGCGACAAAAGAGTTGACATGGCTCCCCCGGATGCATCATTTGTCGTCCCTGATGACGTAATACCGTGACAGCAGCTGCTTCTTCGTGACGTTATTTCCGGTGCGGCACATTTTCCGCTTTCACGCATCACGATGCCAGTTAAACAGATGGAAATGGTTTCACGTTTTCGTTTGTGATGATTGGTTAATGTTTAGCCAAATTTCTCATTTTCAGGAGCACCCGCTGTGATCGAAATCGATATGAAGGTCAAGAGCATGGGGCCGATCTCCGAAAGCGAATTGGTAAGACATTTCCTTCTCTCCTGTCTACTAAACAGAATGCTCCCGGTCGCCCACCCCACCTCTCAGCGTTGTTGATGCCGTGTTGACCGAGAGGCACGCTCGCACCATTTCGCTGGGGCTCGCGCTGACAGAGTGGCCGGACGGCGGCCGTCCTCAGCGCTCGGCCACTGACAGCCGAGCCTTCCAACTCGATCGGAGTGGCTTGGTCTGTGTTTCCGGCGTTTGGGCTCGGTTCACGGTCGGATCGGAAGTAGAGGGTGGTCGGTATGGTGGCAGGCGGCAGCAGGAGTTTGGCAGACAGAAAAATCAGAAAGCAGTCGGAAGTTATCTGGAGTAAAGACGAGACCCCTCAAAGAGGAATGCAATCCAATGAAGAGATCATTTATTTTTTAGCAATCTTTTATTTGAAACATTTCATAGAATGCTGCTTCTCAGCGAAGACGGAGGGGATGGTGTGGCATGGGGTGGCAGCCGCTTCTGTAAATCAATTTTTAAACTCAACAAATCATTTCGGATCAAGTTTGAACATCCAGGTTACACTTGAGTGGCTGTTCAGATTTTGCTCATTCAACTCTGGACGACAGTCACCTAACGAACGCCGCTGTTGGGAGACGGAGAGATGCAGATGCGAGAGTCCATGGGGAGAGGTGCCGGGTGTTGTCGGGCAGAGGCGGAGAGGAGGGGAGGGGAGGGGTCACTGATAGATGACCTGTCCAGGTGGGAACAAAGGCCCGCCACCGGCGCCGGACCACGATCGACGCTCTTCCCGCACTCATCGACGGCGCAGCGAGGGCCAAAATAACGCCTGAACAACACGGCGGAGCAGGACCAATCACCGCAGCGTTATGGGATGACCATTGCGAGTTATGTTTATAAGGGCAATCACGATTGTCCTCCTTCTATTTATTCTGGTGCATTTGCTCGTGCTGGATATTTGTGTGTCGCATGTACACATACGCAAATGTCCCCCTAGAGAGGTAGCTCAGGTTGGGATTTTCAATATTTAGAAAATCACAATTCTAAAGAATACGATTGTCTTAATTGAAAAGTCCCAACCTTCGGATACATAAAAAATTACCAAATGTGAATTATTTTGAAAGGTCGTTCAAACCAGTGTAGGTATATACAGGGTGTTTCACTAAAAGTGTCAAAAAGTAAATGCTTATTAAAGATATATAAAATATGCAAATCACGTGGTTGCGCATGTGGCTTTGTTGCAAATTTTTGGACATTTATGCTTTGTCCATTTAAGATGTATTTTACACCCATACGGAGCGAGGGCAGGAGGCCAAAGTTACTAGTCGTTTTTTTTCCTTATACAGACCAAGAACAGGTTATTTACACCTCAACAGGAGGGGTGAATTACACTTACATTTGGTGCCATCAGAAACATTGAAACCGTATGCCGACTTTTCAGGAAACGTTTTACTCTCTCACCTCGCTACGTTCCAGATTATAAAAGTTTAAAAGGGCTTCTTAAGAGGTTTAAAAGGGCTCCTTCGATGCCAGTTCCAGTCCAAAAAAGGCGGGGTCGCCCCCGCCTCTCGGGGGAAACCGTTGAAAAGGTCAGGGTCTTTTTGAGGGCCTTTGAAGATAACAAGAAGCTAATTTCAACATCAGAAATAGCCAAAGCCTTACAAGTTATCAAAAACAACCACTGTGACGTCTGTAGCCACCAGGAACTGGCTGGACCAGAAGTTCCTGGGCCAAATAATCAGCTGCCTCACCGCCCGCCACCATGGCCAGCGCGAAGCCCCGATCTGTCACCGCTAGACTTCTGGTTTTGGTCAGTGACTCAGTAGCTCTCGCAGAGCTGAGGAAGACTCAAGTTGCATCACTTCGGGAGCTGAAGAGCACAATTCAAGGCTTTGCCGACAGTCTGGACGCTGAATATGAAAACGGGCTGTGAGCCACCTCCGGACACGTGCCGAAACGGTGCATCAAAAGAAGGGGCCGATGTGTGGATAAGGTTTGAGTGACGGTGATATCGCTGTTATATATTCAAATGTCCAACAATTGCGGATGAAATGATATGCATATTTCCTTAGAAAACATTGTTCGTATGTGCATTATGACCTTTTACTTTTTGACACTTTTAGTGAAGCACCCTGAACAGAACCTCCTGGTGGAAATGTCGGGCAACGAATGATCAACACGATTGGAGTACCAGAAAATTGCTAACTATTTTTCAGCTTTAACAACCAGTTGGGGGAGAGAGAGAGAGAGAGAGAGAGAGAGAGAGAGAGGAGAGAGAGAGAGAGAGAGAGAGAGAGAGAGAGAGAGAGAGAGAGAGAGAGAGAGAGAGAGAGAGAGAGAGAGAGAGAGAGAGAGAGAGAGAGAGAGAGATTTCGGTTTTGAATTATTAGTAATAAATCGTCCATTCTAAGCTGGTACTGGTGGGACGGACGGGTCAAATGAAGCAGCAAACCGTGCACCGGACGGGATAATTATTTCGCATGATTTGTGATTGGAGATTATTGAGGTTAGGTCGCTCATCGACCCCCGTGAATAAAATGAAACAGTTTGTTCTTTGATTCTTTGGATGATTTTGTTTTTTTGCCAGTATCAGTCAGACTATGCAAGAATGGTGACACAGTAGGTATATAATGTTAAAACGTGTTGATGTGCAATTCCTACTGAGTACTGACCAACTCGTACTTTGTCCCACCTCACCAGTCACCATAAATCTGCGGCTGCTTCATGCTTGGAATCAGCTCACGACTGATAGGTAACGCCAGCTCGCAGGTTGTTAGGCTGTACCGCAACACATGTGAATCCTGCGGCACAGTCTACCTATTCAGGTTTACGAGCGCCCGGGATCGGCGAACACACGGACTGTTCTGACTCGGCGCGAGCCTCGAACCGTGGCAAATGTAAACGTAGGATTCAACCAGAGCTATTGGAGTAACCATTCTATTTCTAGTAACTACTATTTCTTCCTAGATTTCTGGTCAGCACCTCTGACTGGATTTTCCTGTTCTCAGACCTACTCGATGGACTGTTTCTTTCGCCAAACGTGGGTGGACCGACGCCTGGCGTTCCGGGGTGAGAAGCAGGTGCTCTCACTCAGCATCTCGATGTTGGGGAAGATCTGGAAGCCCGACACATACTTCTTCAACGGCCGGGAGAGCCACCTGCACACCATCACCGTGCCCAACAAGTTCGTCCGGCTCTACCAGGACGGCAGAGTGCTCTATTCATCCAGGTATCAGTATCTATTCCTTGAAATACCTATATGCATCCATAGACATAACATACCGGAGGTTATTTGTAGAAGGCTTCGGTATTTTTTACAATAGACGTCTCAGTATCTTTTTATGATTTCGTTTTGTAAGCACGCCGAGCAAAAGTTATGCCATCTGAAGAAAGCTTAGGTTAAATAAATGTTTCTAAGAAATACCACTTCACAGGGAACTCCATGTTCCTTCTATTTCGAGGCACGTCAAAGTATATGGAATAGTAGAAACGGAAACGCTTCAATGTCCCAACCTCAAAGCTAAGTATCCAACTTCCCGCACATTTCAACAGGTTTTCCGCGCTTTTGTAAGGCCTCGGACTTTCTCACAGAATCTGATCCGAGACGCTCCCTCCCTGAATCGGCCCCTAATAGCCGTCCCCACCACCGCGGAAAGCCGATGATTCTCAGCACCCGCTCAACTCGATTTGCGTCTCGGCGACGCGGAGCCGACAGCCGCGCCAAATCAGTTTCGCCCCCCCCCCCCGTCCCTGTCGACATCCTCTTGTGGCGTCGCAAGGCGCGGAATCGGCTGACGCAGCTCATCGGCGGGGTCGCTCGGTCCGGTGACGGCCAGTCACGACCCGGCGCCTGATCAGGCTTCATTGGAGGGAGCCGGCGTGTGTCAGCGACTCGTCACCTCTGCGGAGGAGGGCAGGGGTGACCCGTCACGTCTCGGTGGGCTGGTTGAATGTCGCAGCACCGCGCTGGGTTGGACCTGTTAGACCGCGGCAGTCGGCTCAAATCAGCCGGTTATCGGAGCTGAATCCGATTATGCCTAATGAGCACGATGGGTTTTGGTTAGTCGCGTACAGCAATAGATGGTGACTGATTGAATTAAAGCCATTCGCGCTCCAGATGTGAATGAGATGAGCTGAATGCTTTACTACGACTGAAAACAAGCTTAAATTGCACTTAACGAGCGATGGGGAATTGGAGTAAGGTGTTACGGTTTTCTATACCATAATCGTTTTCTGTCCTTCAAAGTTCAGTGGAATAAAGAAAAAACTATTCGTACAAATTTATGCTCTGATGCATTTAGGATATTTTACCGTGTAACTATTTACGCTTACCACTCACGAACAGTTGATGTCGACACTGACGGGTTTTGTCTTTAATCACAACATTTCCAATGACCCCTAATTCACCTATTATTTTTCCTTGCAGACTGACCATCACTGCAAACTGTCCGATGGACCTGCACAACTTCCCGATGGATACTCAGCACTGCCCACTCATGCTCGGGAGCTGTGAGTCTGTATTTATGTAATTTGCTCATAAAGAGATACCTACTCGCAAACCTGTTAGAAGACAGTTCTGTCATCTAACAGAACTGTCATCTAACGGTTTTCTGTCATCTTGTTGCAACACTTCATATACTATAGACCCATGAAATACAGATGTGACAGATGTGATTAAAACGATGCTCGTTTATTATCATTTGCAGTTGCCTACACTGAACAGGATGTCACCTACAAGTGGAACTCGGCTCGCAGCGTCGTCATATCCGGTGACATGAAACTATCGCAGTTCGACCTCATCAAGGCACCCACCAACGACTTCATCTTTTCGCGGAAACAAGGTACAAGTTATGCGAGCTCTCCGAATAGATGTTTACATGAGCTATGCCCGGTGATGGCGAGATAATGGAGTTTTTCAAGTGTGGTAACATAAGTAACAGGTGACGATTAGTTGTATTGCGACGCCATCAAGAGTCCCCGGGCAAAGTTTGCACATGATAACAATAGCCATTCACGTATGCAAATAAAGCTGGGCCTGTGTATTTATCACTATACAGGGCCACGGCGCTCCTTTTGGGAGACTTTGACGTTAGTGTTACCTGATACTTCAGAGAATGTTATAATGGTGCCAACTTAAGCATGCCCTTGTGTCCGTTGTGTGTGCTACAGTCTCTGTGGTACCCCACTCCCCCGCTGGGTTTCAGGTAACTTCTCGATGCTGCGCGCCAGCTTCCACCTGCAGCGGCACATGGGTAACTTTATGATCCAGGTGTACGGCCCGTGCGTGCTACTGGTGGTGCTCTCCTGGGTGTCCTTCTGGCTGAACCGAGAGGCCACCTCCGACAGAATATCACTGGGTAGGTGATCGGACGGGAGGGTGTACGGGTCAGGGTGCGTTTGGAGCTAGTTGGCTGCTAGTTGGCTGCTAATTATGAATTAATGTATATCTCTTGTACTTATCTATGAAAAAAAAATGATATACCTATCTTGGGAGCAATGCGTTTGCATACCTGTCTCACTATATATGACGAATTATTTACACTGACAAGCGTTTATGCATGTAAAATTACATGCTTTTTTATTCCGTAACTTATTTGACTTTTATTTGCACTTATGACTTTTAATCCCTGCTGCTTCCTGAAGCTGACTCTGTACTCGGCCGGCAGGCGTCACTACCGTGCTGACCATGACCTTCCTGGGTCTGGAGGCGCGAACAGACCTGCCCAAGGTGCCCTACACAACGGCACTCGACCTCTTCCTGTGGCTCTCGTACGGCTTCATTTTCGCCACCATTATAGAAGTGAGTCGCGAGTGCCTCACCTCACGGCTCTGGTGAAATGTAATGCCAAAGGGTTGAATAATGCTGTGTGAAATCTATCTGACTTATCTGAATCACATAATCGATTTAACGACTTTTCTGCATTTTCAGTTTGCATTCGTGCACTTTTTCACCAAGTATGGCTACGGAGAGGTATACTTTCCTCAGCCAGATTCCTCTTCATCGTCTGAGGAGGAGGAAAAAGAGGAGGAGGAGGAGAGGACGTCAGACGACAGTGATGCACTGCCGAGGAACAGAACGGAGGTGAGGGAGTTTAACCCAATAAACGTTTTGTGTGTGTGTGAGAGCTTTGCTTCATTTTGTGCGAGTAAATCATTTACTTCAGCTGTATTGTTTTAGTGCTACAGACACAACGGCTACCTCCCTTTGCGGTTTGTCGTTTGGGACGTGATGAATGCATTGGGATCTATTGGAGTTCATTTGAAACGGTCACACCAAACAATGTTTTGTTAAAGAGGAAACACTTCTCATTGTGATAGTAGGTTATTTGATGGATTTTAGCCAAGGTGTGATTATCATAAAAATGGAAATGCGACTTACTTCGTATTTCTACAGCGTTTGACGGATAATTCATGCCGCGCTGTTCTCTGTTGCAGCTGTCGTTTTTCGCGAGCAGCATTAGCGAGCTGGCGTCCTCCTCTGACCTGGTGTCGAACGGCACGCTGCTGCTGGAGGGGGTCCACCTGCCGGACTCACCGCCTCCCCTACAGGCCGCTGACCGGCTGCGGGCGCGCTCGACGGCCTCGCTGCCGGCCAGCCGACCCCGGAGGGCGCCCCCGCCGCGCCGGCCGCGACCCCGAGCGCGCCGCCGCCGCTGCCGGCCCTTCGACGGCTCCATGCAGACCCAGTTCAACTCTGTGTCTCGCATCGACCGCATCAGCCGCGGCCTGTTTCCCAGTGTGTTCCTGCTACTGAACCTCATCTACTGGTACTCGTACCTGAGTCACAGCGAGAGGATCACTCTGGTGTCGGGCACATGAACGCAGCTAGAGCGGACATGTCCTGAGCGAACTGAATGACGTGAAAGCTGAGCGCAGCAAGAAACAGCAGCAGTCTTGGCGAGCGGCGGAGACCCGCGTTGAAGGATTGGGATTAGTTGCCGCACTACATGAGGATTATCAAACGTCAAAGCTATGCAGATCTCGGGGCGAACTCAATATGTTTTAAGTCATACTTCTTTGTTATTTTTTAGAAACGATATTCAGCTTATTGTGATGGAAGCAAGGGTAATGTTATTTGCTGTTCTTCGGTGTGTCTCATGTATCTTATGATGACATTTGTAGTCCATATTCGGGTATTTTGAAGAAAAAAAAATGCGTAGGATATTCTTTTTTGTCTTCATAGCTCATATTTTGACGTAAAACATCGGCTGTTTCTGCGAACGTCTATAGGTTTATTTACACAGTAACATCAGAACATGAGTCATTATTACCAGTCAAGTAACTTGTCCGTGCATCAGTGAAGGATTTCACTTTAATCTACTTTCTGATAACTTTTTATTTATACACGTTACATACAAGTTATTTTCATGTCCCATCACAAGCTGCCCTTCCACATACCCTGTAGTTACACTGACAATTTGCCATTTCAAACACTTAATGCTAGTGATTTACATAGCTGCCAGTTGCCACTGCCCACAGCAGCACCGACTGCCCAAAGAACCGCATCCGTTCACTCATACCCCAGCGTTTATATTACACACCACCTAATCAGTCATCTCCCACGAATTGGGTGGCGGCTGTGACCAGTACAAATTCCAATAAAACAAGCTCAGACATCCAAACAGCAGCGGAAAGAGCACCCGAGACACCCGGTCTATCCGACTGACAGAGTTGATCCGCGAGCCGGCCGATCGTCGTTTGCGACGATAGAGCTCGTTGCCGATGATGCAGTGAAGCACCTGGTACCAGCACGGGTCCGACCGGACCGGCTTCGGAGACGGGGAGGAGGGGGATGGTAGGCCGCCGACCACCGAGATGTGATTGTCGAGCATCCCCTGGCGGTAGAGGGGAACGAGTGAGACGGGGAGGAGAGAGAGAGAGAGAGAGAGAGAGAGAGAGAGAGAGAGAGAGAGAGAGAGAGAGAGAGAGAGAGAGAGAGAGAGAGAGAGAGCGAGCGAAGGAGAGAGAGACAGAGACGGAGGGAGAGACAGGTAGACAAAATAAGCTTTGTATCCGTCCAATAGACAGACAGAGAGACAAACAGACAAACATACCGGCATTCAACATACAGACAGACAAACACACACAAGCACAAAGACAGTCACACAGACAGACAGACAAACAGACAGACAGACAGAGGCGCAGACACACGGACAAAGAGGACAGAGGTGGGAGGAACAACACGACCCCAATCAGTGCGTGTTGGCTGGTGGCGCTGCGCTGATGGGATGCAGACCGACGCCTGGTGAGGGGCTGCAGGGAGAGGTAAGGAGCGATGGGGCACGCCTCTTATCCTGACCGACGCCTGGTGAGTGATTACCAACCTGGCGAGGGCGGGAGGAACACGACAGCCAGGTACTAGACTAACAACTAATGAGAATGACGGAAATTATCGTTTTCCTTCAGTGAGGGCTAATGAGAATCGATGGAAAGAAGTTTTCGCTTGCAGTTCAACTGAAGTAATAATGAGTTAGCGAAACAAGGATGATTAGACGTAACCGCTGAGGCAAAGAGGGTTTGCTAATGGTGTTACGACGGATGTGTATGGTGAACGAAAGATATTAATATATTTGCAAAGTTACTTTTGCATTCATTTGTATACCTATATCAGGTGGAATTATATAAATCTAAAGGTATCGATACTAATATAGTTATCGATTGATTTTGATTTTGCTTGATGGATTGCTCCATTTTCATTCACCGTTATGGCGCACCATTTTAATAATTTTAGCATCATGCTCCTTTCTACTGGGACATTTTTCTTCTTTACCAGGACAAGGACGTCACATGATTATATTGTTGCAGCGTGACAACTCTGGCGCTCATGTATAGACTTCGGAAGCTCATGGCCCTGAGCCTGCCATGACGGGTACTGCATTTATCTAATATTTCATCTTCGCGATAGTGCAGTAGCACTCAGATGTGCTTATCGATGCTCTATCCGCCTCGTGGGAGTATTATTGCTCATTTATTTGGTCGCGACAGTCGTATAGTATTTCGGGAACACTTGATGATTGTGCACCATATCAGATACTCGCTAGTCGCCACTTTTGATGATTGTCAAAAATGACCTCGGAAAGGACTCGAGCTGCGTGTAAAGCTGAAAAGAAAACTGAAAACAATCATCTTTTACTTAGGAGCGCCAGTTGAAAAAAAAGTGAATGTTAGCATTTAACTCGCCTAAATAACTGAGCCAGCGAATCAATGAATGAAATGGCGAGTGAATGCATATCTCGCGGAAAGCATAAACTCTGAACGGAACAAAAATGAAAGCACCAGTTCAAGTTATCGATGTATGTTGAGAGCACACACTTACATAGGTACATCAATAGGTAACGCATCAGTAGGTCATGGCTTCGTGAGAGAATAACTTGTAAATACTTTCCAATAATGTTTCGTTTGCCTGCAGAATCACGGCATGAATAATACAACGGGTGAGGTGTCTAACCCTTGCCTGAATCTCGGCTCCATCCGTCCGTACTGCTCCCTACACATGCTGTCTGCAGCCATCACAAAGCCTGATGAAGGGATGAGCTGCACGTACGGGGCCTGTCACTCCCCGTCAGCAGAGCTCGGCTTATTACGGGGTACGGGGCTGTCAGTCCCTGCCGGTGTGGGGAGCGGCAGCGGAGCGGAACATATCCCGTGTCAGACTGCAGCAGTGCATTTGCATTCTCTCCATTCTATTTCGCCCGGCCCCCACACACAGGGCTCCTCTAAGCTGGCTCAGTGGAACACCAGTGACATCGGGCGGCGACAAAGGAAACTAGCGGACTGCAGAGGGCGGTGTCTCGGCGCCCGCGCACCGCCTCAGCCAACGACGAGTCATCCATAGGAATTTGCATCAAGGAGTGGTATGTAATTGTAGACGTAATCATATATGAGGAGAGCACATAGGCTTTTTTAGCAAGCTTGTTCGACTTAACAATTCTACAATTCTGTACAACACAACAATTCTGTAAGTAGGTATATTTTACCAGTACCTACCTCGTGTCACTCTGAGGGATCAGAGGACGTTTGAAAGCTGCGTCAAATCCCATCAACTAAAAATGTTATGCATTTTATGTCAAACTTACTTTGCATCACTTTTTCAATAATGGCTGTCGGAAAATGGACGAAGCTTTGTCTGAAAACGCGGTGTTTGAATTTCAAAACCCGCACGATGATCAATTATGCATATACCTACCTTAACTGAAGATCTGATTCATTTTTCATTTTGGGATGGAACAGGTGCATAAAAAGCATATTGATGACATTTTCCTCAAAAGGCTAATGACGATAGCGCAACTATGAAAATTAGACCGCAAATGGCATGAACCAGCATCAGCATCTTCCGAACATTTGTTCGCAAACAACACTCGCTTTAAATGTAAAGAGGTGCCGAGCCTAAACAATAAGTTCATATCATACGACATTTTGTACACATTTTGATTGTGTGCACCATCCTATTTTAATAGCAGTGTTCCATCTCATGTGGTTGTGGCCAAGCCATTCAGACCACATGTGCCTCTGCAATAACAGAAACTGGAGCTGCACTGTGGGAATTATTATCCACTTGCGCAGCACGCAAAATTACTGTCCTTAATTGTTTTCGACAAACATGGGTGGCATGGCTGTCGAAAAGGCCCACAAAACCAATAATCCAATCATATTAACAGAACGATAAAAGCGGCATACTTACAACCCCAAATTTCATTTCTAGAACCCATGAATTACACTATAATCTGGATATGCCAGTGGCTTCATGAGATAACGCTTCATGATTTATGATAAAACATTTATAAAGGATAACCATAAGCGTTAAATTGGAAGCTGACCAAGAAACGCTCGTATTTATGGTTAGGATAACTGACAACATCGCTCATACGACTGTAAATATGAAATGAAAGAATGGACGAAAATAGAAAAGAAGACACACAAAAACTAAATGATACTATATAAGCACCTGATGGATTTCTCTGGAGCCGATGTAGGTGCCCGTCCGGTGTCTCCAGACGTCTCCTGGTCGGAGCTCCTGCTCCTGCTCCGGCGAGAGCTCCTCCTCCAGGAGCTCCTCGTCCTCCCACTCGTCCTCCTCCTCCTCCTCCTGGGACCTCCGCTCCTGCTCGGTGTTGGATTCGTCCAGCACTGGAAACTCGCCACTGCCCACCTGTCCAGATATACAGCAAGGGTCGGGCGCGGTGTTATAACAACCGGTTTCGGCTTAGTTTTTATAAATCATCGCCATCAATTACAGTTGAAATTCGCAAACAACAATCTTAAACTTGCGGCCTTGCGAACAATAAAGAGCAGGAATTTTTTTACAGCTTTGACGTTCTTTGCAACCAATAAGCATTTCACCCTCATCCGTCTTGGCTAATGCCATTGTCTCCGCAACATGTGTTTTGTGACATCACCGTTCAGCTCGGATCATCCCCGTTTTCTGCCTAACGTCGGTAATAAAGGTGCGTTATGAGTCACTTGGACAGGCAGCTATTGGAATCACCGGTGCCGACGAAAACACCAAGCAAAAAACCACAACTTGCCGTTTTCCGAGAGAAATTGTGTCGTTCTGGAAATACCAATATGCCGTTTTTCCAGCAGGGAACATATCGGGCGAGATAAATTTGTCAACCACAGAGGCTCGTATATGATAAACCCAAGCGATGACACCGGGGTTTGCTGCAACATTCAATGATAAATAAATAAAAAAAATGTAGCCTAGTGGCGTGACCAAACATCTGCTGTATATACATAATTAATTGCTTCTTGCATGATGATCCAAAGCTCAATAATGAATGCATATATATCCAGCTCTAGCCATATACCGACAACGGAAAATGAATCCACAGATTGCGTGGTTAGTGTGCTGTCTGATTCGCTGATTCACTAATAGTAATACCTAATAGTGAATACTAATAGTAATACCTATTAGTATTCACTAATAGTAATACTAATAGGTACTAGCTTCAACCATTGGAGACAAATCGGGGAAGACCACTCTGGCAAACTTCAGAGCCGTATATTTCCAGACGCTTTCCGATAACCCAGACTCTGATTTAGGCACTTGACCATTCTGGCCAGATTGACGCTGCATTGACACTGCATGACAAAGACATTATAACGCGACAAATAAGTTCCTAGAATTCGTATCAGTACTCAAGAATCAGACCATCAAAGCTGCGAGCCATCGAAATCATTTCGTTCACAAGAGCAGGCTGATATTTTATCAAACGAATGATATTTTGCGTCAATCGGGGAACGCCCCAGTTTCATGTAGCCACCCAGGCATTTAGGTCCGCTACATTTCGTTTTTCTCCAGATTGGTTTTAAGTTGATGTGTAAACGACTTACAAGCTTATTTGCTTTTGCACGAGCTGAGAGCTGTAACTATTCACTAACAGCATGCGAGTCGATAGTTGATTGTTCTGCAGAGTGCACAATAGCCTGAGCCTATCACGTGCCACACTTTCGCCCACCTTGGTGAAGAAGTGGACTCCGGCGAACTCTAGCAGCGTGGCGATGACGAACGCGAAGCTGGCGAAGAGAAACCAGTCCATGGCAGTGGCGTAGGAGACCTTGGGCAGCGAGATGCGCGAGTCTATGCTTATTGTGGAGAGCGTCAGCACAGCAGTTATCCCTGATGGAACCAAAAACAAGCGTCATTAGTTACTGGTAGCATCAATCAGAGCGTCATAGCTCTTCTTTGTATGCTTTCATGTGCTTTTACTAGTCGGAGCTGTGTAGTGGGTACTGGGAAAGATGATATGCATAACGGAAAGGCTACTCTGGAAATTCCTCCGAGAGAACAGCGCTTACACATTACGGTTTTCAAGCTCTGTTTCGCGAAGACCTCTCATGTGTCATGTGTTTTTTCCCTAGTGAACCAACCTGAGTAGTAAAGTAATCTTGTGTTTATGTGTCAATTGCTTGTAGATTTACTTGTGCATAGGCCATAGATAACATAAATCATGATTCATGATTCATGTTATCCATTCCTTATTAACTGCACTGATATACGCTGAATTGCTGATATATAATGGTCACTCAGCATTAACGTTTTGTTCCTTTCAATAACTGACAATAGAAACATCTTTTGTTCTATTTGAGTTTTTTTACATTCGGACCGAACGACCAAGACATTGTGGCATTGGGCAGAAGGCCTAAATTGGGATATTCGAGCTGTGTTTGTTCAGAAACACATAACGTCCCGAGTTTGCAGAGGACAAATAAAGCGGAGATGTTGAAACAGCGTGAGAATGCCATTCTGGAAGGTTGTGGGCCATCGCGTTTGGTGTTTAACTGTTATGACCCCTTGCTACGTTAGACTTACAGGCTTCACTCTCTACAGTATTGACCGAAAAAGCATAGCTGGATGCATTAAAAGGAGCTTCTCCGTCATGTACTTAAAATGCACGGGTTCCCAGAAGCATCGACATCCCAATGTTCTTGCTAATTATAATACCACGGATGACGAGCGACCCAACAGCTACCACCCTTGTGGCGCAGTTGGCAAGTGCGTTCACGTTTGGGGTGGGAGGTCCTTGGATAAAAGCTGACCTCTGGCAGCGTTTTCCTCGGCCGGCTCCTACCCAGGAGATGGCAGTAACTGGGGAGTGTTCGCTCGGTCGTGGGGATTAACGCTGTGCCAGCCAGCGCCCCCGGCCGCAGGTACACGGGCCTGATCCGCCTTTAAACAGATCCTTCGGTCCGGTGACATGTCCCGAGGGCACGGCCTCGCTTCATGTCCCGGAGCAGCCCTCTGACCTGCCGGGCCCGAGAAATCGGGATAGCCCCAGCGTGCGCACCAGTGCGGTGCCACCTGGGGTGCGTGACAGGAAGCGTGCGGTCAAGGCTGTCCCGCGTAGCGGGTGCCGAAAACGATTCGTACCACTGCCTTGTATATAGTGTACTAACCCAGTATGAATGTGTGCTACCAACGATAAAAAAAGCCCGGGTCGGGCACCAAAAATATTCTAAAAAAAAGAGCGACCCAACAGCTACCACATTTGCTCAATCACTAATAACTACAATCGCTAATTAACAAGTTACTTTTCGGGTGTTTTGACCCACCTAAGCTAACCCGGTCAGCGGTCGCCTCACGGTTGATCCAGAAGGACACCCAGGACAGCACCACGATCAGAGTACACGGCAGGTACACGTTGATCATGAAGTAGCCCGTGTGCCGCTGCAGGTTGAAGTTGACTTGGAGGATGGAATATTCCTCCTTGTGGCGACTTCCTGTGGCAAACAGGCGGTGAGCGTTATAGTGTGATCATTCCGGAAGTATAGAATCGACATTTTTATTGAGTGCTGCTTATATCACAAACATGTGAGCTAGAATAATTTTATATGCAAAACAAAATCCTAGATAACTAGTTATAAACTTCCTCATCACTTATTGTCTGGACTCTTGTCTGACTCTTGTTTGGAGGGCAATAACCTATCAGCTACAGTGCCTACTCCTTTTATTTTGACTGGGAACGAACTCGTTGATACCTTTCAATCACATTTCCGGGATCATTTATTGCAGTTTATGCTTGCAAGCATTTTTTAAAGCTGTAGTTTGGGGTACTGCGCTACACTATACAGTATACACACTACACACCCTTCCTCTGTACGGTGGCATTCCGGAACGGGTACGAGATGAGGTCGAACTGGGACAGGTAGATGCCGCGGGCCAGCCGCACGTTCTCGTGGTCCCATTCGTAGATCACATCGTGACTGGTGTACGCGTCTGAAACAAAACGATATGGTGCATGCCTGAATGCATGTCAATCGCGATATTGAGATCAATTGTTTTACTTGGAAAAGGATTTTAGCATACGAGTAGGGCTAAGTATCTGAAAAATTGGGACCAATAATCAAATTCCTATGTTCATCAGTAAATAGACTGCATGGGATTGAAATGCGTGTACCTTACGGATAACATATTGCAGGACAATTTAACGCTAATATTGATACCCACTTCACTTACTACGACATACAGAGTTAATTGCATTATCAGAAGTCCAAACTTACAGACTTATTTGTTTCCGTCAAACTTACAGCTTCCTATCACGAGAGGGCAGGTCTGCTTATCCATGGGGAAATGTTGCAGCAGCATCGGGCACTTGGCCTTAATGGTCAGTCTGAAACATCCACATTAAGGTCACTGAGAGGTCAATGATCGATACAGGAAATGATGGGTGCTACCGCCTTCACGAGTCATTGCAACAACAGCAACATCTCGCTAACAAATCGCAAGCTGCTTCCAGTAATCCTTTTACCAGAACGAAGTGTATGAGTCCTACTACAAAACAGGTTGTGTTTTTATAAAAGACCAAAGATCAATCGCTGGCATTTCCTGCACCCAGGCCAAAATAGTTTCATTTAGTGCTGACGCCGAACTACTAAGCGGCTTTTGACTAGCTCAGCAGCAAAAAACGACATCGATAAGCTCGGTCAAGCGCCAACCGACCAAAGGATACAAAACCTCGACAAAGAAAGGCTTCCGATGAGCGATTAAAACGTCCGCTCTTTGATGAGTCCCGCAGAGGCCCTAAACAAAACAACAATGGCTGATAAAGGAGAATCTAAAGAGCCAAGCACGGGTAAGCGAGCTCTCACCGCATCGAGTAGAGTATGACGCCGTTGCTGCTGAGCCGAATGAGTTTGTTGGGTCGTGTGATCGTGTGCACATAGCTGCCGCGACCGTTCAGGAAGTAGGTGTCCGGTTTCCAGATGCCCTCGAGCATTTTGATGCTGAGACTGAGCTGGTCGATGGAGCTGTTGAATGTCAGCCGCTGGTCGCGCCACATTTGCCGAAAGTAGCAGTCCATCGAGTACTCCTGACGACGGCAGAGAAAATAGATAACGGGAACGAAATTTGAACGTTTATACGAGCATATTTTGATTCAGTCGGACAGCAAAAAGGAAATCAACTGATAAAACTGTTACAGCAGTAATGCAAACGATCGATAATGGGCAACAAAGGTATTCTTTTTTTTTTTGCTCCTGAATGATTTCAAGGAATCCTCCTGATTCATACCAGAAATGCCACTAAGCGCCCTTCCAATCAGACCTTTTCATTCGCCCCATGGTTTCAACCACCCCAGCCGCGCTGAGCCAGCGGCCTCGCCGGATTACTAACGTCGGCGCATCCATCGATGGGGCAGATGGTCCGTAATTGCAGCGGGACCAATGGTCTCAGATGGTCCTATGGACCAGTGATATCAGACTAAAGATATGCCATCATCAGCCCGGACATCAACAGGCTGAGATTTTGTTAGCAGAGGAGTTGGTCGCGTTAGATGTCATGTTAGCTGGATTCAGTTGCTATATTCTTGCAGGAATATCAGACTTGTTGGGAACGGGTCGTCAACAGTCTCACCATATCCAGCTCCGAGATTGGCCCCATGCTCCGAATCAGGATGTTGGTCTGGACGCGTGTTGGGCCTGAAAAGAAACAAATCCGTGGTGACTGGTTCCTGACATATTGTACTTGATAGCTGACTAACTTTTGGTACACACAGAAAAATATTAACACCGTTAGCGGTGTAATTGCACAGTACATATCTGAGCACTTGAGGAAAGTTAATTTAGTCCCTTCCCCGCTTAAATTACTCGCGCTTCCAAATGAACACCAGGAAGAAGGTAATAGAACACTGTTAGGAGGGTTGGGTGTTTTGCTACATGTAGTAAAACACCCAACCCTCCTAACAGTGTTCTATTACCTTCTTCCTGGTGTTCATTTGGAAGCGCGAGTAATTTAAGCGGGGAAGGGACTAAATTAACTTTCCTCAAGTGCTCAGATATGTACTGTGCAATTACACCGCTAACGGTGTCAATATTTTTCTGTGTGTAGACTAATGCGTTCCGTCGCTGTGAGTTTACAGTCGCGAGGAAAGATGTAGGAATAATACACGACATTGATTATACATATTCTTTAGATAAAGAACACACACACAAACATGCACATTGCACACAAATGCACAAACAAACCCACGCCACCCCCGGGGCGGCAACATTCCGCTCCATCAGGCTGGCGCCGAGTCTGGAACACTCCCACAGATCACATGGCACCGAAATCAGTCTGATGTGCCGGTGTTCCGCTGTGAGACGTGCTGGCGGGTCGGGGCCAGTCATTCACCAGGCGGTAATCGTCCCACCGATCGTTCAACATCGATTGTGTGTGTTCTGCCATCGGCGGGGAGCGAGCCCCCCCCCCCGCCCGCACGGGTCACCCCCGCGGTCCCTGCAGTTTCTGTGGAGGCTGAATGGACGACCGCCCTCCTCTGTGTCCCCCTCTTTCTCTGTATCTCCTCCTTTTCTCTGTCCCCCGAGAGTGGCTCCTCTTGTGCCCTGGGGCTGCCGGGGAACCGCGGGGCAGCCGGCCCTGTCTGTGCATTGTGAGATATGCGGCCCTCAGGGATGCTCGGAGAATAGAAGATGCTCTGAAAGGATTATTTACGCCCTTGTATAGACTGGTGCCTTGAAATGTATATTCGGTTACGCGTAAGACTTTCAAAGCGCGCAAGGCTTTAGCGCGCAACGCAATTAACGTGTCTTAATGGAACTTAAATATCTTTTTCTTTCCTCGGCTCGTACTGCCTGCATAATTCAGATGACTTTTTTATTGGTTCGGGATCTTATTCATTGTTATTGCATGAACACTTTCGTTTCGACAGAGCTTACACGACGGAAAACCGTGGCGCTTATCCCTTCGATTCACGCTCCCGCTCATAGATGTCGCACTAGGCGCGCCCCTGGCAGTGTATACTGTCCCGTACGGCTCGACTGGCTCGAATCCCGCCGGGCGCCGACATCAACATGCATCTTTTGTTGATGAAGGAGTGACAATTTTGCATATGCATGGATGCCATCAGCTCATTGTAATTGTGAGCTATATAATGTTTTCCCACCGTGATGTATGCTAATCCATCACGATGTCATACTCGTATGTCGTGCCGCTGCTCTTTGCTAGGTAATTATACTATCACGGGTCGGTACAGGTTCGTGTTGTCGTGTCAACAGTGGACAAATGGAGAAAAGAAAGAGAAAAATAAAAGTAATAATTATTGTCATGTCGTTGGCAGATTAGCCAATGGCTAGGTCTTGAATATGTGCATAGCTACATTTTTTTTTTGTCGAGACTCGGTGAATTTGATATGCTTAACATTTACAACAGCTGCGTTACTGTTATGAAACGAACACCTTAATAGTCCACCGCATCAGCGATCACAATCCGTGCCTGCAATTTTATTCAGACCCTACGTGCGCTGCAAGTCAATGGCGGACCGCAGATCAAGCACAGACGCAGCACAGACGGCCGATCGGCGGGCGCCGCGGCGCGACAGATTGCTGATAATACGGTCAGGCAGCACCGGGAGCCGGCGGGGGCGGGGGCGGGGGCGGGGGCGGTGGCGGGCGTTCATTAGGTAGTCGTGTCGTGACCATCGGTGCCGCTTCACGCCTCGTTTACGTTTCTGGCGGCGGGTGAGCAGGCCGTCCACCGGGGTCAGAGATGAGCAGACGGAGACGCGGAGACGGAGACGGGAGACGGAGACGCGGAGACGGAGACGGGAGACGGAGACGCGGAGACGGAGACGGGAGACGGAGACGCGGAGACGGAGACGCGGAGATGGAGACGGGAGACGGAGACGAGAGACGAGAGACGGAGACGAGAGCCGGAGAAGAGAGAAAAACGGACAGATGGTTACGAGGAGGCAGAGATGGATACACTGAGATGGGGTAAAAGAGACGGAGAGACAAAGACGGGGACGAGAAGAAGGAACAGACAGGTAGACGAAGCAGGAGACATAACAACGGATAGACGGGACGAGGAGACGGAGACGCCAGGCGGGGAGACTTGGAAATTAAGAGGCGATGACGGGGAGACAGGGACATAAACGGAGAAAGAGTCGAGCAGACGAAGCGTCATTACGGCGATGAGAAGGCACAGACGAAAAGATGGAGACGGAGACGGATACGAACACTGAAACGGGGAGGTAGAAATAGGGAGATAAGGGCAGAGAGATAAAGACAAATACGAGAAGACTGAAACTGAAACCGAAGGCACAAATAGCAGAGAGCAACGACCATCACTCATATAGAGACAAAGACGACAGGACAACGTTGAGCACATGGAGACGAAGACTGAATTGATGAAAGATCAAACCATGGAGATGTGAAGAGGAAGAAGGAAGGCAGAGGCACAAAGACTAGGAAAAAAACGGAATTTTTGGCTATTGATCAGTGTCTAAGGGATTCCTCGGATTAGTATGCTTCACAACTTTCATGCTTACTCTAATAACCCAGTACACACATAATACATATTTCGACGTCTTCTAAAATAAAACAGGTTTGAGAAAACGTATGCTTGATGATTTTGGATGCTGCAGTAATGTTGGAGTGGAGAATGACCCTCTCGGCGAATAGCAGCAAGATGCCACTCATAACGCTAGCAGCCCTTGCTGCTGATATTAAACGGTGACAGCCAGTATGCAGATGGCTCCTATTCAGGCTAAGTCAAAGCTGTCAAGCTGCGGACAATATTAATAAGCAGCTTTGCATAGAAGTCAAGAAAGGGAGAAATAAGAGTAGCTATACTAAAATGAGCGAAAATCACGACTAAGAAAATAAGACTGCTCCTTTCATGATTTTTATAAGTAATTTATTTAATTAATCATACCTACATAATATTGTTTAAGATTAGGGTAGATGCGGAAATCTTTCAGTCTTCTTGGTTAACGAGCTAAATTCTAAATTCATTGTCCGGCTGCTGACCACACAAGCCGCTCAGTTATTGAATCAGCCCGACGGCCGCTGAAACCCTGCGTCGACCGGTCCCGGATCGCTCTGTTAACAGGAGGGAGTGGACAACAGTGGCAAACAGGAGCAGATGGCTCTCCGGCCTACCCCTAGGCTTCGTCCGACAGTTGCGCTTCACTGACTCATACCGGGCGAACGAGCAAACGCTCAGACGGCTCGATGAGACGTATAACGACTTCTGGACGCAGAACCGCGACACGCTGAAAGGCTCTCTTTATGTGGCGACTGCGTGGATGGCTCAGAGAAAGTGTCAAAGAATTATTTCAGGACGCTTAGCAAAACCTTCGAATCTATATAGGCAAACTTTGCCAGCCAGTAAAACTATGAATTAATTCAATCGTGACATATGACACCATTCCCGAAAGCTGCGATTACATGCCAGCTTGTCTTCCGGCCGATTGACCACAAACGAATGCAGGATATTAACACGTCCAAGCGTCCAACTTTGCCGCGACCCAGGCTGCTGATTGAATGCAGTTTCATCCATCATAGGGCAGACTTGGACCAGCGGCTGTGTCGGCGCCTAGAGCGGAGGTAGGGGCGTCTGGGATGGCGGTAGAAACGCTTCAGGGGTATTATAGGTACACTTTTGGGTATAGTGGAGCCTGTAAATCAATAGTAATTAGACAGAAGATGGTGTCCAGTTGCTCACAAGACGTTTGACACGGCCGGGACAAAACGATGGCCGATTGGAATCGTAGCTAAACTTACTGGAGCAGCCGACCTGTTGCTGGAGCCACGCCACCTGTGTATGTGGAACGGAGATGGGAGACTGAGCTGCCGTCCGACACCCTCCCCCTTCCTCTCCCCGGTGATACGTCATCTTCTCTAGGTCGCCGCCGGGAGATGCCGTCGCCTCCGTCTGAGGAGCAGCATCCCGCCGAGGGTCGATACTCGATTACAGTATCGCCCCCGTGCGACCTCATCTTCACCAGCGGGGATGGGTGGTGCCTCTCCGCCGGTTTCTTGTTTACTAATGCTCCGGAGTGTAGCCTATCAATTAATTATCTAGGCAATTTATCATGAAGCGCCGTGGCAGCAAGCACATCAGAGATATGCGCCTAATGCTTCCCAGACGGAAGCATTATATACTTCTACATATAATATAGCTCGCTTATGGTCCAGAAACTCACCGTCCAGCTTTTCATTCCACTGTGCAGAAGTCATAATGATGCAAGTGGTCAGAAATGACCATTCACTGGACGAACGTGCTCGAGAGTCCTGTCCCTCGAGTTCCCCGGTCTCAGTCTCTCGGCTGCACTCGCTAGCTGACGTCTGTCGACGTGCCGGAGTTTCCGCCGCGCTGGTCCGTCCGGTGATATGGCGATTGGGTGACGCCGTGACGCGATGCCGGGAGACGGCAGTGATGGAGCAGGGTGTTGTGCGCCGCCGCCGCCTGACCTCGGCCCCCCCCCTGCCACCCTCCACTGACCCCCTCCGGCCGCAGGTCAGCGGCAGATTTATGGTAGGGCGGCCGACCGGAGATAGGTCCTCATGGATTGCCGAAATCCGCTCATTTCCCCTATTGATCCGCCTCTAGATCCGATCCATACCAATGAGAAAAGAGCAGCGGTGCACTTTGATGGCACACACTAATAGTTCAGGCACGGGAGGAGTCTGGATTCAATTGGCCAGCCTTAGGAGTGCAGCCTTCAGCTGCACGACGCCTGGGCAATACCCGCCTGTGGTCTGAAATGCAAATAATGCGAGTCTGTGTGTATAGTTATGAACGCGGCTTCGTGCGGGTTACACCAAGTATGTGCGTGTTCGGCGTTCGCGTTGTGTATTTCGTATCCGTAAGTGTGTGCGTTTTCTTGTGTAGGTATTTCTTGTGTTATCTTCAACCAGCTCGGACTCGGAGTGTAATCGCCACGCCGATTGTGGATTGCTCTTGATCGTCAATACATACATACATACATACATACATACATACATACATACATACATACATACATACATACATACAAATAGAACATCTAAAGAAATTTATTCCAACCGCATTTCACGGCAGGCTGCATTCGGTCAAGAAAAAAAAACTTCGTTGTCATCGGTTTTAAGTTTTTGTTGACATCAATCTAGAGGATCCATGACTATAAGAATACTAGGGTCCATTACGGATATTGTATCCGAAAGCCATAGACAGAAACTGGAAACGATATCGATGGGCATGCATTGTCCCTGCCAGACCGCACGACAGTACATTGTCTGCCAATAGAGATCTCTTTATCTCTCTTTTCCCATCGGTGCTTCCGTTTATACCGTTGATAGGAATAATCTGAATTGGGATCAAGGTTCCATTAATTGCCACAGGCAAGAAGAAAAGTTTCATCTTCATTCTTCATATGGCCATTTCACGGTGTCGTTGGGCTCTCACTGCTGTCTGAAAGCAGTTTTGCAACAGGTGGTCAGCTGCTTCGACAGATAGAAGCCTGCCCACGGTCGTATAAAATTGGCCTGTGTACCAGGGACTTTTAACAGAGTTTGGCTGTCGGCTCTCGGCCCGGAGCTCATCTTCACACGGGAATTGTCACGGATTCACTAAAACTTTTCACTTAACTAGAATGACAAGCTGTTTTGATTTAAATGCTATTACAAATATGTTCAGATGTCGATTTGCATATGATCATGATCCATTCACGATAAAAGAAAACAACCAAAGTACGAACACCACTCTGAAATTTTCACACTCGGCTTCCCAACTGCGTCAACCCACCGAGACCGCTGGCGGGCCGCTGGGTGCTGTCGTAGTTCTTCAGCAGGTTCTCCAGCACCGCCGAGATGTTCTCGCTGAGCGCGAGGTTGGCGTGTCGCCTCTGGATCCTGCCGGAGGTCGCCTCGGACGGCTCGGTGCCGTTCAGCTCAGAGGACAGAAACCGGTACCTGCGGCGACAAGAAATAATATTACTCAGAGGAGTGCCTCGGGTGAAAAGATCGGCTGCTATGCACATTGATAGACTTCTGTACATACATAGAGTAGGCTATGACATTGCGTGTTGTTTGTAATAGAATGCATCGTTTGTTACGAATTATTTGACTCCATTCAAGTCTCGGCCCTTTTCTGAGCATTTACCGCAGCTCGCCACCGCTCGTCATGTGCGCAGTGAAAATAGACGGGAAAACGGTATTACATTAGCAGCGATCGCTCCTCGTCACGGTCGGGTATCAATTAGCTATCCAAACAGGGTGACACCGCGGGATCAACAGAGCACGGCCGAGCAGACGGCCACGGTAGCGACAACATACTTGCAGAGACGCGACACGAGCTGCTCTGCCAAGAAACCACGGGTCAAAAGAAAGGAAAGTGCGGTGAATATGCATTCGTCAGTTATCTAAGTCATCGGCAGGCGCTGGACATGTTTTTATCCTGGGGTAACTAAGAATAATAGCGGTAGTACCTATTTTGACAAAGCTGTAATAAAATTGCAGCTTGTAATTCAATCTTATCTGGTTCAGTTGCGAAAACGTTAACATGGTAGGGCCTACGTGCTGTACTCATAGTTCCAAGAATAAGTGGTGCTCTTGATCATGCGACGCACTACTTATCGTGTAGGTCACGTAATTTCTCCTTTTAGAACCATCTGGCTGTTTTTTTTTTTTTTGCCTCATCGGATAGATCGTTTAGTGTAAATATAGTTCGCTTCTAGAAACATTGTCTTCCTGTATGTGATTGTAAGTACAAAACTTCAGAGCATTGAGATGAGTGATGAAGATATGTTCGTAATTCGTATTCATCAAACTTAACTTAGTTGAAAGTGGATGCAGTGTTCTCTTTCGCTCCATGAACAAGTAAACACTGAGTCAGTTCTTGTCCGGGTAAATACTACAGGTAGTTGTTTTTGCATTTTGCCTATGCATTTTGCTGCATTTTGATACGATAGATGCGTACATTCGTGGTTCAAAAACATGCTTGGTTGCGTAAAATCCTCCGGAGAGTTCAATGGACGCTGACGTCATACAAACTTGCAATGTATTTGCTGAAATACAATACACACCAAACTATACTTTAAACTGCAATGGAGGATCCCAGTTCCCACAAAAGACAGAGGTCAACAAAGGCTGGCATTTCAGCAGCGGAAAATGCGACGCCGGTCTCTCGGTTTAACTGGCCGTAAGAGTCGTCGTTTTGTCCTAGACAGGCATAGCACATCGGAACAGCACACAAGGGACCATTTGTGAAGCAGTTTTAAAGTAAGTATTGTAGTTCATTCAGGTGTCAGGGAGCCTGACCGGCTGGGATTCGATTCTGGACGCAGTTTGTTTTGTTGACAGAGATAGGCACGGCTGATTCGTGTGACGTGCAATCAGTTAGCAAACTTGCTAGTTTAATAAGTTACGTTGCGGTAATGCGGTAATGAGAATTATATTTCACAATAAAAAGGTGATTGAAACCTACTCACAAACCAGACTTTCGGGTCGTGATGTGAAAAAAATGAAATTTACCCAGCAAGTTGAACTAATTACTTCACAACTAAAATTTATTAACTCGATCACCATTTATAACCTCATTCTGGTGCAACAGCCATCAGCGGATCACAATTTCACTGAAAACACTAGCAGTAGGTAATCTTTCCTGTCAGTACTTAACTTACCCGTCAGCCAGATGAGATGCGGGCCCGGTGAGCAGCAGTAGCAGCAGCTGCATCACCAGGGCCTGTAGAGGCTGCAGCGCTGCTGTCATGAGTCTGCGCGCAGCACTTCTAACTCGTCCGTCAGTCTATAAACAGTCACTGAGGATCTCCACGGTCAGTGGCGCTGGCTGACTGACCCAGCACCCCGCGTTCCTCCGGCAACGGACGTAACCTCCGCCTCCGCCTCCGGCGCCGGCCGCTGAAACTGGTCTCCGCCGCCGCCGCCGCCGCCGCCGCCGCCGCCACTATTACGGCAGGCTGACGCCGCCCGCGGCCACCGACGCGCCCACCGAGCACGTGCTGCAACTGATCGCAGCTGATGCGCTTCCGATGATAAAACGGATGCGACATGATGGGATTCGGTGCCCAACGGGTGGTTCAGATTGGAGTATTATCCACGGTAGTTATCAAGGTAGAATTCACAGTATTTGAAGTCTACGACGACGTAATTGCCAGTTAACATCCAATTAACATCTAACCGTGCAAAACTAGGGTCTCAGGGTCCTTGACATCAAACGGTTAGCCTCTGCAAAGAACCTCGCTTGATATATCAATGAAATGTTATTTTTTATCTACATGAAACGCCACCCATCAGATCTGAGCCCATTGAGAGTACAATGGTTGCCGGGGAATGGGCCTCTTCCAATGCCCCGGTCACCCATTCAGTTGATCATCTGGAGAGATGAGTCTTCGTCAGACAATAGTCGGCCGCTGCTGCCCATTTGGGGCCACCTTTGAGAACTGAGACGAAGCCTGGATCGGCTTTGATCGCTGGTCACTGCACATCTCACTAAATTGGAGGAATCGTGATTTTGTATAGCTCTAGTGATCCGAGTGAAAGTGTATTATGAGGAAAAACGCGGTATATAAAAAATAGTCAAATGTAAGTGCTGCGCCAGAATTTAAGTGTTGTCTTTATATATAAGGCCTGAAGTTGAATGACAACCGGGCACCATTTGGAATTTGGATCATTGCTACATGTGGGTAGGCACAGGGTAGGTAAAAGAAATAATTGTCGTCGATTAAATTGTCGAGCTCTGCGATCAGATTTATGTACATTGAACATTCGCACTTCATCTTCTTGTATCAGTACTTGACGTGCATCAAATTTGCTTCATCTTTTTTTAACTAGGGACTAAAAATATTTATAGTCATTGTGATTAAGTTCTCAGTAACAAAAGTGGATATAACACTGGCCTAAACTGCGCTATGACACAAAATTTCTTCAGATGAAATATTTTGTTCTTGGGCCATTTTCATTAAGATATGCTTCAATAGAAACTGCAACTCAATAAAACGAATTTGAAATGACACTTAATCATCAAAATGTCATGACTCGAAGCTTCTTTGATCGTCTTGCGCGTTCAAGAATCGCTCCCTATCGAGGTGCGTGTTATGGTCCGTTCACGGTCGATCTCACCCGCGAGTGATCGATACCGATGACCTGACGCCGATGACGCGCTGCCCGATCTGTTTATTCCTGCACATCATTACTCGGTGCGTTATCCTTCTCGGGGGCCGGGTGGCGCTCGCCTGCCGCTGAGCGTGCCCTGGCGCCGACGGAGGTCATCTACAATTCTGAGCGACCCCGCCGCCAACAGCTGTCCCCGGTTCCGGCAGACAGGTGCCGCCAGCGACGCTGCTTTTCCGTAACCAGACGGATGATTAGGAATAGGGATGATTAAGATTTTCTAGCTGGTAGGCAATCTAACATAATTAATGAGCCAATTAAGAACATTGAATTGGATCATTCCTTTTATCTTGCCGATGACGGATTTCTTGAGCATGCTGTTGAGGTTTTTTACTGCCTTTGGAATGCTCATTTCCAGCAAACAACTAAAACTCAACGATCTCACACATTCTTGAATCATGCAAAAGACTCAGCTGGGCACCATGTTCACCGGCATGTATAGTTCAGGACACGTTCTAGCGTGAAGTGACCTCCTACAGAGCCGCTGTCCACTTGACCAGGCCTCACAACTCCCGGTGGAGTCCTTTAGGACAGCCGTGGCCCGGTCCGGCTGGGACTGGCGCTCCTGGACGTCGGACCGGTGCCGGAGGGACATCGATCACCTCACCGGCCGTCCGGCCCGCGGCTCCCCTCAGGCGACAAAAGACGCCACGAGTCGGCCGCGGGGATATTTCAAACGGTGGTGTCACCTGACGAATGCGACGGTCCCCGCCCGCGTGAGTTCGGTCACGATGCAGACTAGACTTCAACTGGCTGTCTCCGACTTGTTTAACGTTCGGCCCCGTCTTCGTCATGTTTCTGTCATTGAAATTCTTCTCTTTTTATATATTCGTATTTTTCCTTCATCTTTTTTCTTCATGTCTCTGAATCACTTTCGGCTCATACAATGAAATAAAATACCCATTTTATTACTTTTAATTCTTAATGTATTTGATATCAATATATGTACATGATATTAGTATTTCGGTCTACGTCTCCATCAGCCCTGCTGAGACAGCACGCCACTATGTCGGAACTGACTCCCGTGTCTGCCCTCTGACGGACCTCACGCGTCTCACATACACCGGTGCGTCACCTGATGCCGTCAGAGGCACAGGGGAGATGAGGAGCGACAGATGCGTAATTATCCCTCCGGGGACGTTGACGTGACGCTTGTAGCGCTCGAGACTGGCGGTGGTCACGCGTGAATGTCAGCGGGGTCGGAGAATCGCCAATGAGGGCAAACGTACTGGCATGGGAGAATAAGGCAGCGAGTCTCTGCGTATTTCTTTCATGCGGTCGTAGAACGTAGTGTATCAAATATCATCGTTCGCAATAGTACCCGATGCTGTTTGGGTGACTACAAACATTGAAACCTTTTTTCATATGGGATTTCATCCAAACAGATATTACATCCAGTCGGGTGTAAGCGCCTAAAGCTATGGCTGTACCTAGCACTGACGAAATGTAGGCGCCTGAAGCTATACTGTGCCGCAACGCTCAGAAGCACCATACTGTGCCACAACGCTTGAAAGCGCCTGGACTTAAAGGAAAAGGGCCACCTTTAACATGGGGGTTGAAACTGAGATAGCCATCTTGTAGCCCGTGTCCGAAAACCTATCTGTCTACCTCCTTACGGCCGATTTCGGCCTCCATTCGTAGTTATCGGCAATTTTAAAAGAAAATACGCCAGGAATGCGTCCTTATCCCAGGAATGCGTTCTTATCCGACAATACAGCCACCCGCGGCGAGGCTTTGGTTTTTTACCAATCAGCTCCAACCAGCTCAGCTTTAACCAATCAGCTTATCTGACACAAACCGACGAGTCTGTCTTCTGAACGCTGATTGGCTTGAGTGTGACGTCATCGCTATGCCATCATACAGTAGGTGCCGTAGAGAGTATCAACATAGTACCAATATGTTAAATAGTTTTAAATACTTTTTCGCGAATTGTGCACTTCTAGCACCAGTTTTAAAAAGAAAATGAAAAATAATAATGTCAAAATGAAAAACAACGATATCTTCATATTTCACGAAGGTGGCCCTTTTCCTTTAACCTGCTCCGCAGCGCTCAGAAGCGCCTGAAGTTATACTGTGCCGCAACGTTCAGAGACGCCTGCAGTTATACTGCGCCGCATGGCTTATAGGCGCCTGTAGCTGCATGGTGCCGCAACGCTCGTAACGCAAGCGCCTGCAGCTATACTGTGCCGCACGGCTTATAGGCGCCTGAAGCTATACTGTGCCGCAGCGCTCAGAAGCGCCTGAAGTTATACTGTGCCGCAACGTTCACTATAGGCGCCTGTAGCTGCGTTGTGCCGCAACGCTCGTAACGTAAGCGCCTGCAGCTATACTGTGCCGCATGGCTTATAGGCGCCTGAAGCTATACTGTGCCGCAACGCTCAGAGGCACCTGAAGTTATACTGTGCCGCAACGTTCACAAGCCCCTGTAGGTATACTGTGCCGCACGGCGCGGGCACCTCAACGTTTTGTTTGAGTTTGACTATACAAATTACAATACAGGGGCTCCGCCACGGTTTTGGGATTGGGGGGGTCCGACCAAAAACACAAAACCTCGCTGGCGGATCCAAGGTGGGCATTTTGGGCTAATTCACCCCCACCCCTACCCCCACCCCCACCCCCACCCCACCCCCTGCAGCTCCCGAAATCGATGAAAAATTGCCGTTTTTTTCTAGAGTTCAAAGGAAACTTAACAATTCTATCGGGAGGATTTTGCTTTATGTACCGAAAAAAACAAGGTTCAGTTTGCAAGAGGAGTCGAAAACCGAGAAGCGGAGCTCAATGACACCGACATGGCGGCCTCTCAAATCAACGTTCTTAACCCTCGCCGGCCGAGGGGGGGGGCGGGTGCCGCCCCCCCATAGGGTTTTTTCGCGATAGCTCCGAACACGCCGGCGATAGAGAGCTAAAACTTGGCATACCTGACCTTTGATCCAAGCCGCATCTTTTGACACCAACCGCATTTTTGGGTCAGGTCAGGTCACTGACCTATGACGTCATAAGTGAACCTCTGCACGGTCTTCAGATGTCGCAACTTCGCAACGCCCTCACTGCCAGAGGAGATGTCACAGGGAAATGAAACTTGCAGGATCTAGTATCCATTATGAGTCTCACAACTTGTATATCTCGGATTTTTCCTAAAGGTCATATGAGGTCAGGTCATTTTCGTGACCTCACCATTATAAGTCAATGGGGAAAAATGAAAACTGCTATTCTGGCGCCGGGAAGGATCTCCAACTATCTCAAGCACACAGAATCGTGATTTTATGCACTCCTTGCAAGGTTAGATGCGTCACTTTTGCAATGTTGACCTTTCGTGACGTCATTTATGACGTCATCAAGGTCAAATTAGTTTTTCGTCAATAACTCCCGATCAAATTAAGCTAGCGAGTCGAGAAAGCCACCAATGGACTCAGGAAGACCTGCCGAATCGAATGATATGCGACATGACCTCTTTCGACCAACTTCGTGACCTGGGGGTGCTGACCTGACCTTGACCTGAGGTCAACGCCCTAAGTTGACCTGACCCGAACAAAAAGTATATCATTCGACGCACCTGAGCGAGGCGAACACGATGCTGCCAAAATCGCGGCTCTGCGGCCGTTTTTTGCGAAGTTATTCACCAAAAACTGAACCGTACCCTGGGGCACTTGACCTGACCTCAGAGGTCACCGGTTGGCCTAGGACCTTAAAATCGGGTACCAATCTCTGCGTCTCGTAACGGCGCACACGCTCGTTTTTTCCGCGACGCGCTAGCTCCACCAGGGGCGAAACGGCGAGGGGGGGGTCGTACCCGCCCCCCCCCCCTCGGCCGGCGCGTATGTAGAAAACCAATAGGTCCGGCGAGGGTTAAGGAAAGGAGGCCGCTTTTGCGCGCTCCAAGGGCGGTGTTAGCCATCAGACAGCGCATTAGGCTCTCAGACTAGTATGGTGCTCGAAAGACCGGCTTACCCCCCCCCCCCCCACACACACATATATACACTATCGGGTGATCTCACATGGGAAGAGGGTTCTCAGATCGATTTGAAGCTCTTTTGGGGCGGGTGTTGTGTCTAGGAGGTGTCCTGCAAGCTGGACCCCTCTCACGAAATTATTGCCAAATTCTAGCATGCTAAGTTAATCCTAGCAATCTTAAACGCATTCATAGTAATAACAAAATGGTAGAATAATGACACTCCCATAAATATAGGTCGGCGATTGTTGAGCAGAGCACTTCGTGTGTCACAACATCTTCGTGTTTCCCTACATTTCTAGATCTTAAATTCCTTAGCTTTGCGACCATCAACACATTCTAATTAAATTATTCAACACATTCTGTGAATGATTTAGTCATTCTAACGCAAAACAAGGTTACAGGTATTCGGAATATTGGGGGGTACTGTACCCCCCATGGGAATTATTGAGGGGGTCCGGACCCCCGCGTACCCCCCTGTGGCGGAGCCCCTGTTACAATACATCTCATTACCTCTTACTTTGGAGTTAAAAACTGTTTGGTAGGTGTGATGATATCGTGACTTATTTGATGGCGTGAAATAACGATAGCTCGTGGTCTATGAACTACGTCTGTCAGTTTTGACCCGTCCCCCCTCAGCTGCGCTACCGCATGTCACCATAGCTCCGATCAAACGTGCTGGTAAGCCGTCGCGAGCCATGTGACCTATCGGCTGTTGCTGTTGCTCACCCTTCAGGGCAGCTTGGCGTACCAAGATCTAGCGTACCGTTTGTTAGCTAGTCAGCTTGGAGATTCTCTCGCCTTTACTGAGCTCGCTAAACGGAAACTAATCAGTGATATTTGGGAAAGCCGAAAGGGGAGGGGGCCGAAACGCCCCCCCCCCCGTCCTTTTCCGTCAATATCTCCTAAACGGCTGGAGATATCGCTACCAAACTTTCAGGACCCCTTTCATATTGACACTTCCATATTGTGACCCCCGGTGACCTGACCTCGCTGTGACCTGACCTGGTATCAGTGACCTCAGATAGCAAGGTATGTGTTTGACGAACAATGTACACTCGGGGGCAGATTGATGTTCCACCACTCCAAACCAATCGGGCGATCCCATGGCTCAGCACTGGCTGCTGCCAGTGTTGCCTGCCTTCAGCACTGCTCAGCACTGCCTGCCAGTGCCAGTGCTGCCAGTGCTGCCACTGGCAGCAGTCAGTGCTGAGCCATGGGATCGCCCGATGGGTTTGGAGTGGTGGAACGTCAATCTGCCCCCGAGTGTACCATCGATGGTTTTCAATAAATTACCAATTTACTCGATTTCACAACACATTTCTTGAAATGCTTGTGAACGGTGAAAATCCGACCTTTGACCTGACCTGTGACGTCATCGGTTTGACCTAGGTCAATGAAATTTGGTCACAAGGTAGTTCCCGGGTGGGGCTATCGAACGCCGTTTGAATTTTGAAAATCAACCAGTAAATTTCCGAGATCTTAGGGGGGGGGGGCCGAAAAGGCTCCCCCTACGGGTGGTAGGGTCCGCCGGTAGCCCTACGGGGCGCGGGTTAACCCTCGCCGGCCGAGGGGGGAGGGGGGCGGGTGCCGCCTCCCCCCCATAGTTTTTTTCGCGATAGCTCCGAACACGCTGGCGATAGAGAGCTGAAACATGGCACACCTGACCTTTGATTCAAGCCGGATCTTTTGACACCAACGGCATTTTCGGGTCAGGTTAGGTCACTGACCTGTGACGTCATAAGTGAACCTCTGCACGGTCTTCAGATGTCCAGCTTCGCAACGCCCTCACTGCCAGAGGAGCTTTCACAGGGAAATAAAACTTGCAGGATCTAGTATCCATTACGAGTCTCACAACTTGCATGTCTCGGATTCCTACAGGTCATATGAGGTCAGGTCATTTTCGTGACCTTACCATTATAAGTCAATGGGGGAAAATACAAACTGCTATTCTGGTGCCGGGAACGATCTCCAACTATCTCAAGCACACAAAATCGTGATTTGATGCACTCCTTGCAAGGTTAGATGCGTCGCTATTGCAATGTTGACCTTGCGTGACGTGATTTATGACGTCATCAAGGTCATATTAGTTTTTCGTCAATAACTCCCGATCAAATTGAGCTAGCGAGTCGGGAAAGCCACCAATGAACTCAGAAAGACCTGCCGAATCGAATGATATGCGACATGACCTCTTTCTACCAGCTTCGTGACCTGGGGGCGCTGACCTGACCGTGACCTAAGGTCAACACCCCAAGTTGACCTGACCCAAACAAAAAGTATATCATTCGACGCGCCTGAGCGAGGCGAACACGATGCTGTCAAAATCGGGGCTCTGCGGCCGTTTTTGCGAAGTTAGAAACTGAATCGTATCAGAAACTGAATCGTACCTTGGGGCACTTGACCTGACCTCAGAGGTCACCGGTTGACCTAGGACCTTAAAATCGGGTATCAATCTCTGCGTCTCGTAACGGCGCACACGCTCGTTATTTCCGCGACGCGCTAGCTCCACCAGGGGCGAAACGGCGAAGGGGGGGGGGGTCGTACCCGCGGCCCCCCCCCCCCCATCCCCTCGGCCGGCGCGTATGTAGAAAACCAATAGGTCCGGCGAGGGTAAATGCAGCTCAATGTGACAAGAAATGTTTGTTACGACCGTTGTGAACTTGTCATTCTTCTCCCTCAAACAAAAATCGTTGATATGCTGTGTCACTAGCATTGAGGATTTAACGATGTGGAATGAAGTTTTCAACACGTTCTGAAGCTTCGAGTTATTTTACGGTCTATTAGGCAGGCTGGACGCATCACGAAGTTGCGGATGAGATTTTCGTCGGAATGGGTACAGTCCTAAAATCGTAAGTGGGTATGCCAGTCTTGGTAAAGGTTTTTATCAGCATTAGAAAACGGCGACCGTACAGCGCCCTGTATCAGTTGAACACCGACCGAAACTTCCTGCATAGCCAGATTCGACAGGAACCAGGACACACAGGAAACGTATAAGAGCCACTGTTCCGTGCTTCTATCCTCAGGATACTGAAATCCTTCTCCTCCACGCCGCAACCCCCCTCCGGGCTGGACAGGCAACTTTATCTCATGCGGGCTGCTCCCTTGGAGCGGCACCGCTGCTCCCGAGGGAGCGCACCTCGTAGCCGGGTGCAGTGAGTGCCTTGGGGCTGGGTGGCCTGTCCTCTGGACGGGCTCAGCCCCGGCGACTCACTAGGGTGCCTGCCCAGACCAATGTCTCCCCCTAATTCCTATCATCCTTCCGGCTCTGCAATGGTCTTGTCGACCGAAAGGGCCTAACCCAACAAAACAAAACAAACAAGTATAAGAGCCACGATGTCTGACGAAACGTGGCATTAGGTCAGAGGCCAGAGCTTCGCCTTACGCGAGGTCACTTTCAACTTTTACAAGTCCGTAGTTTCGACTGAGTCCAATAATCACCGACTGGTTTAGCACCACTGTGCAAATCCAAAACGCGGGTAGTTATTAGATCACATTGTATTCATGAGTTGCGAGGCATCATGAATTACTTGAGTCAACGTATGAAAAACTATTCTGAAACTGTCACACGTCGTTTGAAGTTGACTCTCATTTGCCCTGATGTGCAAACGTTTAAAACCAGACAACCTTCTGGGTACTATAAAATTGCGAAAACCGTCTGTCCCTCTTCCAAAGAAAGGATGGAAGGGCATGGAGAAGACAGAGCACACACACAACATAAACTGCGCTGAGCTTCACGAAAGTCCACATCCTTCCATACAGTTGCACTAAACTGTTGCACCGACGTTTCAAAACTTGTACCAATGAAAAGTACCTCTTGAAAGAAGTAGGAAACATCCTCACTACCATTTCCAGTGCACATTGCACAACACACATTAACAGTCGCATCTCCGAGCTGACTGTTAACCATCCAGTCAAAACACAAACGCATTTACACTGTCACTCTCAGTTCGTTCGCCAGATTATCATTCTAGTTTCATCAGACCCACTAAGGCAGCCGGATCGCCCCGAATCGACACAGCTCAGGTACACAGCTCGTCACTTCCCCCCGATCCTCCGTTCTATCTAGGCGGTACCAGTCGGAACCGAGCAGCCAACGGCAGGTGATCGGAGGGCAGCGCGGCGCTCGGGTACGGCTGCAGTTTCCGGCACACGGCGGCGGTGGGCAGCGCGAACCGAGAGGTCAGCTCGAGCCGCGCCGAGCCCGGAGGCGGCGACACGCTGTAGGGAGAGGTGTGTGTCAGAGGGGGCGCCGTCAGGGGAGGGTAGTCAGGGAACGCTGCAGGGGGCCGGCAGCAGGCGGTGGTACTCGGGCAGCCAAATGAGCGAATAATAACGGTCGCAAACCACGGGGCACAGATCGATTGGCGAGCAGCCAACGGTGGACGGGAGGGGGTCGCAGGACCCACGTGCTCAGCCAAAGAAGCCGGTTCATGTGAGCTGCGATAAATTTTACGAAACCAACCAGGCAAAGCATCACTATAGGAATGTTAAATGATAAATGTTACAAAACCAGTCGAAAAAAATCGATATAGATATAGAAATGTTAAAACCGAAAACAGCAGAAATCATAACAGTGCCTAACAAATAGACTAGAAGTTATCAGCCATTAGCCAGAAGCCCACTTACTCCGTTTCTTACGTCCCCTTCCCTCAGTCTCACCTCTGGAAGATGTAGTCCACCGTAATCCACTCACGCTGTTGAGTAGTCACCTCCTGTTTATTCCTCTGTCCATGACGGTACACGGACCCCAGCTGGAGACCGTGCGCCAGGAACCCGGCCGACGCCTCGTAGGTCAGTTCCTGCAGCGGCAGCGGTGGCGGCACGTGCCGGTGCTCGCTGTGTCTCACCGCCAGCATATGTCGCTCGGCCCGGCGTCGCTCCGGCTCGCTCTCTGACAGCTGTGCGTACAGGCGGCGCATCTGCACACCCACGTGCCGGCAGTAGGCGGTGACGCCGAGCTGGGGCGGCAATAGAGGACCGAGGAGGGTCTCGCCACCGCCGAACGGCGTCAGCTGCCTGCGCGACATCCCGGCGTACTGCAGCCAGCCCCGCGTGAGGAACTGGTATACCTGGGAACGGGGGACAGGACAAATGTAAAATGGTATGCGACATCTTTACCACTAGCAAGTTCAAAACATTCGAAACGAGAGGCATGCTTCGAATAGGCAAAAGAAGCAAAGCAATTGAAACTAGCATAACTTCTGGATAACTATGCAAAAAATGGCAAAAGAAAAATCCACCAGGACACAATGTCCCCTAGTACACCCTCGGCCCAGTCTACAACCCACTGTCCACCAAGAACCCGCACTCTCTCCTCCCCCCCCCCGATTCCGTACCGGCGAGTGCGGCTCCAGGTTGAGGTCGCCCGCCAGCAGGATGGGCAGGTAGGTCTGGCGGCTGCCGCACCAGGCCAGCCGGTCCAGTTCGGCCAGAAGCAGCGCCACCTGGGCCAGTTTGACGTCGTGTCGCCGCGGGTTGTAGAGCAGGTGCGTGCAGGCCACCGCCAGCTCACCGCCGGCGCCGCTGCAGACGACAGCGAGACACAATGATATAGACGGTTACCGCAGCAGAGACGGCTAACGAAAATGTATGGGCAAGCAAGCATTAAATGCGAAATAAATGCAAACAGAACTTACAATGAACATCGCACTCGAATATGTTTGTAATACGCATTCACTCTGCTCATGAAGGCATCAGTATTAATTATACCAGCCACCGTTCAGCCCTCCTAGGCAATCCGGTCGGCGTGTTGCTCGCCACGCTCACCTAAGTCGAGCGACGATGCCGACGTTATCCCTGTCGAGCGCCTTGCAGTCGGGCTGCATGTACTCGACAGTGGCCACATCCTGCAGGGTGAACACTGACTCGCGGAACATGAGCGCACATCCGTCCATCTTGTCCTTACCGGTCCGCTTCTTGAAGATGATGTTGAACCCTGGGGGAATGACGGGGTCGCGTGAGAGGATAGTTAAAGAGAAACGTCGTAAGCTGGACACGAAATGACGGAGCGCTGTGGAAATCGCAGGGTTGGTAATAAATTATCATGTATGATGGCGAGTAACTAATGATCAGAAAGTAACATCAAATTGTCCAGACTAATTATAATGAAAAAGAGATGTCAAAAACTAAAAAAAATAAACACTCTGTAGTCTGTAAACATGTGATCCACAAAAATGCTCGTCAACATATGGGAAATAAGAATAGCAAATGTGTTTTAAGCTCAACAGAAAGTCACCCACCTTCTTGCCTACACCGTGGTATCCAAAATGTCTGTAAATCCCGCTCTTCCACTTCTTGCAAACAAACTATCTGAAAGTGTGACAAAATTTCCACAAAACTGCCAGACAACATGGAGTAAACCTAGAACAAACATAGTGTTAACCTACAGCAGCCCTAAAATACGCGCAAATGCACTTAAAAATAAACAATAGTAAGACAAAGAAAGTAGCGACCGTAGTCACTTGAGTATAATCAGAACTATGAAGCTTTAATGATGCAACTGTCATTCAATGTTCCCACGAGATGCTACCATAAATTACCATACGCCCCACCTTACGCTCCCTCCCTCCTCCCATGATCCACAGCCGCCCCGCCGCCGCCGCAGCAGCACACACTCACATCCGCGCCGAGCCGGGTCAGCTGGTCCCAGAGTCGCGGCGCGCGCACCGCCCAGTCCGTCTGGTCGCGCTGAGCGCCCACGTACAGCTCCGGATGGAGGTCGTACAGGTGCTGAGAGAGCACGTTGTACGAGACCATCGTGAACTCAGGTCCGGCGCCTGCGACGATAAAAGGCGATAAGTGTCAGAATAACGCCCAGGTCAGTCTGAATGACTGACAGGAATACTGCCTTTGTTATATTCCATCACCCGTAAACCGCTCGTGGTCGTGGAATACACGCCAGACTCACTGATGGAAGGACCACTCCGACAAGTCGAAGAACAACTTCTCCTACTAATGCTCAAGAGTGGCTGCTCATCGTAGATAGGGATACTTTGAGCCCAGTTAGGCGCTGACAGTACGTAAAGGACGTACCTGGTGGCGGTTGTCGGGGAGGACGACCTGCAGAGGCCACCGGCTCCCAGATCCTCACATTCTCCAGCATCTCCTCCCCAGACACTGGAAACAGTCAGCTAGCGGTCAGACATTAAATTTAAATGTGAGCCGTGAGCACGAGCAGCGCCTACCTCCGACACCACACGTTGTATGCATGGGTCCAGTCAGAAACAAAATCAAAATAAATACGTCTTTCCGCAATGCATCATTAAATACAAATGTAATGTAAATGACAAATTATGTCGATGATATGTGGCATTGCAGGATGGATAGAGCTGTAATACGTCATTGATTACCATTGAAAGACCAATCTAAAACTTGATTCAACACTAGAGGGAAGCATACCTTGTGGTTTCTGTTTCGGTTGGGCACCATTCTGTAGTCGATGCGTATCCGCGCCACGCTGTTGCTGTGCTGTTCCCGGTGTGCCGATGTCCTGCTGTCTTATTTTGGGCCCCGTTTGCTGACTCCCCTGTCCGGTCCTCTGAGCAACGTTCAGTTCACTTGAAGCGTTTGACCGTTCCCCCGCTCTTTTCAACGCTGCCATAAGCTTCATAGCCGCAGTCTGGAGTGCTTCCCGGTCCCGATTTTCAGCGGCCGGGAATTTATGGGACATATTTCCAGACATCTTATTGTCTACTGCTGATTCCGACTGTTGTCGTTTCCGCTTGGGACTACTCTTCTGTGGCGGTGTGCTGGAGCCACCCGATGTCCGCTCGATAGATGGCCCCCTCCCGTCCCGTGCTGCTTGCTGCTGACTCCTTGGCGGGGATACAGACCAGGGCCTTCTATCGTCCGTTGCCTTTCTTTTGGGACTATCCCGATTGGGCGGGACAGCTCGGGTTGGCGAGGTGACAGATAGCTTCACCTGAGTCTCTCCCTGCTGGATGGCTTGGCTAGCACTGCTGTCTGTTGGTGAGTTCCCGTTCCTCGTCAGTTCCAGTGCCCTTGGTGGTGTCACAGCCAGTAATTGATGGCCTGAATCTGCGACATCCGCCTTGCCCTCTGGCTGCGCAGACATTACACCTGGATGGTCACGGTTGATGGAGCAACATGGCTGTAGTGGAGATGGATGGCGACATAGTGCTCCCAACAGGTGTTTAGGATGTATTGAGCATGGACGGACACTGTCAGTGAGAAGCACGCGGAAGATGGTCCACATTCACCAGTCCGAACTGGGACACACCTCCAACCTGTGGAAGGTCACATATTTTGGTGAATCAATACACTAATAATCAATATCATGGAAGCTTGCTTGCATTGGTAAAAAAGTTGTATGTCACTAGCCTCAAAGGGACCCTCCATTTTCAAAAAGTTAATGAATTTGCATAAAAGTGATGTCGCTCGGTTCAGAAAGAGTGAAAACGAATATCTACCAAATTTCATGGAAAAATATTCACATGTTTTCAAGATAATACTTTTTACTTTTGTTTACTTTTGGGATCTCCACTGTTCCTAGTGACTATTTGAAAGTGCTGCACTTGTTGCGGGCAAAGCAGCATATACCACCGCCGCCGACCGCGTTCGACTTCTACCAAACATTTTAGTAAAATATTTAAAATGGTTAGATATGCACTGACATCACACATTCAGAGGGGGCATTCTAATCAGGGGTGCAGAGCCGGAGCCAGAGCCAGCACATTTTTGCCCGGAGCCGGAGCCGGAGCCGCCATGACATTTCACCCCGAGCCAGAGCCAGAGCTGATTTTTCTCGGAAGCTGGAGCCGGAGCCCAAGCTGTCTGAAATTTCCACGGCTCCGCATCCCTGATTCTAATGCATTAGCCCCTCTGAATTGAAGTGCTGCAACTTTGAAATTAGATATTTTTGTGTTGAGGCACTTCTCAATCTTGTGAGTCAGAGTGCTCAAACCGGTAAGTGCAAGCCAGGGACCCCATTTTGGCTGTCTCAACTCAAAAACTAATGTTAAGGGGGGATGGTCACTTTGAAGTACTCGCAAACATGAGCTTGAATCCCCTATCACCTACCTATCCCCTAATCCCAATGTTTAACATTCACACAGGGTTACTTTTACGCATGGGTGTAGGAGCGCCAAAAATATTGGTGAAGGATGCCACCTGAACCTTATGAAAAGGGACAGGACCGTGCCAACCAACACGCACAGTGCAAGCGGGGGGGGGGGGGGCGAATTTCGCCAACCCATTGTTTTTCGCAGATATCTTACGCCCTTATCATCCCATTAACGTCAAATTTTCAATGCCTGCCTAAAATTGAATTGTGCATCTTGCCATGACAGCAAGATGTAAATCAGGGCCTCGGCTAAGGAATTTTGACTACTGGGGCAAATGGTCAAAGTGTGTTAACCCGCGCCCTGCTGGGAGGGGGGGTTTTGAACACCCACCCACCCCCCTGCGGTTTTTCGCGGATATCTGAAAAACGGCGGCACCTTATCATCTATCAATGTTATACATTTTGTGAAAATTTCAGACCAGGGTCCTTCAAGGTCAGGTCACAAGGTCGCTACAAGTGACCTCACCTCATAAACACATCATAAAATGTTTCAATGTATGCCATAGCTAGTGCTACACCAAGTGACGGATCGCTTTGAAGCTTTCAGCAATGGATAAGTGCAACAGTATGTACAAAATTCGGAATTTTCATATCGGTGACCTAAGGTCGGGTCAATTTTGCGACCTCTCTAGGTATTATAAGTCAATGGGAGAAAATTCAAAACCGTCTTTTTCGGACGAAAGTCATTCTAAACACTCTCAAACACTAATTTACAAGTAACTTTGACACACTGAACATGAAAACGGCACCCGTGACCCCTGTTTATGCCCCTGAGGTCATCTCAGGTCACGAATGGTATCTAACAGTTTTTGCGACTAGCTTTTGAAAGAGGCACGCTAGAGCGATGAAAACGCCTTATATATGTTCAGCTCGACGATACAGATCCCCCTATATGCAACATGACAATGTCCGGTCAAATCATGACCTTGACCAGAGGTCAAATTTTTAAGTTGAACTTTCAATGTCAAATTATAGTTCATTCGATGCGTCTTGACAAGAGGAACACGATGTCGGTAAAAGAAAGCTCGTGCAAGGCTTGAGTCAAAAGTTATTGCAGAAAAACTGTTCCCGAAAAATCGTCTATTTTGGCAGTTTTTGCCCCCTGCAGGCAAAACCGTTGACGTTAGGTCAAATCTGAGCGAATTACTCAGAAAGGGCGTTAATAGGGCTATCGAATGCGCTTTTCCGTGGCGCTGTAGCTCTATTGGTTCCCGAGCTATGCGTTGGCTTCTTGGAAATTGTCGACATTCGACCTGGAAATCGGCGAAATTTTGCCTTCAATGACCTCTAGTGACCTGACCTTTGACCTGACCAAAAAAGTGACCGAAGTGATTTCGTCATTATTTTTGGAGCTCTTTCGAACGCCGCCTTCCGCGTATCGCTACGTGGCCCAGGAGCCGAGTTAGAAGGGGGGGTGTTCAAACACCCCCCCCCCCCCCAGCAGGGCGTGGAAATCCAGGGCCCCCAGCCGGGCGCGGGTTAAAAAAAAACAGACATTTTATCAACCGTCGAATCCAGTAGTTCTAAGCATAGGTAGGTGAAGACCCTCCCTTGCATTGTCCAAGATTGGTGAAGGATCCTTCACCAATCTGAAACTTTGGTGAAAGGTATCCTTCACCAAAGAGATACGTTGCTACACCTATGCTTTTACGGGAAAAGTCGAGAGGGGGAATAAAGTTCGGGGCAAGGGCGGATCCAGGGGCATCTGAAAGGGGAGCCCAATGCCATTAGGTTTGTGCTAGGATATCGCCTGCAGAACCTTACCCATCCCCAAATCCTACTCTCTCCCCAGATTCTAGCCACTTTATATTGTTAGGTTGCCAAAAAATAAATTAGCTAAAAAATATATGTAGGTACCTACATTGGTGGTAAGCGGCGGGGGAGGTCCCAACTTGACTGCGCCCTTGCAAACGTCAATCAGTAGTATCAACCTATTACCCTGGCCAAACATCAAGTAGGTAGCACCTTTCTAAATAGAGAGAGGTTAACACGTGACTATTTTTGCTAGGCCAAAACCGATTGAAGGACCCTGGTTCGAAGGAAGACCCTTGGTTCGGAGAGGTCATGACCCCCATCCCCCGCCGGTTTCTACGCCGACGCCTGTAGAGTGTAGCAATATGTCAGTGATTGCGAAGAGACGAAAGAGACAAGACAGGAGACAGTCCCACCGACCATCCGATCGGTATCGGGTCAAATCTGGAGTTCCCGCTGCACTGAACGTAAAATGGTTGGATGGAACCTCAAATTGAAAATTATTAAAGCGCCAGCAATGCTGATTGATAACTATAGTCTGATTGTGATATTTATATACACTGTGGTCTGATCAAATGATGATTATAGAATCATGAGTAGCGAATTGATTGAAAATGAGCTCAAAAATAAATTTGAAAGGGGGAAATTCCCCTTCCCTGATCCCTCCCTAATCCCTAGCCGTTCACGTACAATTTGAGAGGGGGAACTGGAACGGAATTTACGAAGGGGGGAAATTCCCCTTTCCCGGTTTCCCCCCTTTAAAAGTTACCCTGAGCATGACATGACAAAAACAATATTACAATTATGCAAGGGAATGTCACTCGAGTAAAGCATGAGCAACTGGAGAAAATGAAATAAAATAATATCCAAACAACAAATATTCAACTTTTTCCCCCCAAAACAAAATCACTCCAAGGTTTTGCAAATTGAGTGATATTTTTCCGTATGCAATTTTGGTCAGTTTGATTACGTCACTAGATAAACACGGGATAAGGCAAAGGTATCGTTATTCATCGCCAGGTATCTATGCCTCTATGTATTAATTTTTTTTATTTTGATGACTATTCAGATACCTTTTTTAAACCGGATTTGAGTCATTCGATAAAAAAAATAAAATCAAAATATCCGGTTTTTATGACGTATTGGATGCTTGACAGAGCATAGTGGTTATGGAGGATGGCAATAGTGTTCTCTTCTCAAAGCTCTTGCTGAATCTTGGCTAAAGCCTTGAAAGTGATTGGCAGTGGCTCGCAATTTTCTGCGGTTGCAGACATTTAGAAGTATGGAAGAACACAAATCATGGGAACGCAGCACACGCAGTCATGCTAGACGTGTGTGGAGCGGAGGATCGGGAGGATCACCATTTACCAAGGCCGTATAGGAGCCATTTACGACAAATATATTGATCTAGGTACACTTTTTTAACTATCACTCTTCTATCATTCTTTGGTCAACAGTTTTACTCTAGGTATTAGAGTAAAACTATATTACTTCTTATATGTATTGTCAGGTCTCGTAGTTTGAGTCTCAGTCTTGAGTTTCATTGCATTTGCATTGCATCCATTCAGCCAGCCAATAAAAATTAGAAATTAAAAAGTAGGTATTTGTTTGACTACCTACAGTGTAATCTGCTTGGATAATAAATCCAGCTGCTTATTGTGGCCACTTGAGCTGTTAACAAGCTACTGCTCGGTGAATTCAAATTGCCATGTCACCAACATTGACATGGGTTTATTAAGCAGATCAAGATTCTACTGCATTACCTTCAAGCAAACTGGTAAAGGCAATTAGAAATATGTCATATGAGGATCGCCTCCGTACATTAAAACTACCCAGTATCGAGGAGAGGATACGTAGAGGTGACATGATTGAGACCTACAAGCTCCTGACTGGAAAAGTAGAAGTGAACCATGAACAGTTCTTTGAGGTGACACATCAGGACAGAACAAGAGGACATGGACTCAAGCTTGTAAAGAAAAGGGCAAAACATGTTTCAAGACTTAAGACAAGTTCTTCTCAAACCGAGTAGTAAACTTGTGGAACCAGCTACCCAAGGAAGTGGTTGAATCTTCAACAACCAACAGTTTCAAAAATAAGTTTGATAAGCTGCACTGGGCCACAGTTTCCTCAACCTAATCCGAAAGTCTTGTCATGATGTGAGCACCAAACAGACCTGGTCTGACACCAGCTCACGAGACTAAGCCTAAACCTAAACCTAAACCTAAGCTAAAACCTCTGATTACCTAATAATTTTTTAGAGCAAATCTGAAAAGATTTCCATTTTCAAGTAAGTAATTCACATTTTCATTAGCTTGTTTACAGGGACACTGTTCAGTGTTGGCATTGGCCACAGACTCACAGTTTTATATCAACAGGCTGTGAGCCTGCACCAATGACAGTCCAAGAAACGTCAGCAATGAACCTCCTTATATGGGAAAACCAGCAGCATGCTCTTGAGCATGCTGATAAAAAGGCAATTGAACTGGGCAGTTGCCTGGCCTTAGTTCATGCTGTGTGACATGCCAAACTTGCTTTGTGGACAATGGATAAGTTGTCCTGGCAGCATTCCAGGCAACTTTTACTGCTGAAGACCTCCACATCCTAATTTGACTTGTGTTACTAGGTACCTTTTGCTTGCTTTTAAGAAGTAAGAGATGGGCAAGTGTCTATAGCAGCTACAGGAAATGTAAAAAAAAAAATCAAATTGAATTGTGCTTGCTATGGATTTGATGTTTAAGGGCAGGCTTGGTTTGTTTAGCCAGGATTATTTGAATTTTTACCTTTTGCTCTGTAAAACTGGTTTCACACTGAATAAAAATATGCCAAATTTTGGATACACAAGCCTTCCTCTGTGAATCATTTGTGCTTTTACCAGACCAGTGCACCTATATGATTTATGTTTCCATGGAAATCAGGTTCTACCTGATTATTGTCATGATTTTCATCATATAAGTAATGTATTTTCAGCCCATTCCATTCTTGGATTCAAAGTATTGACAATATTTTATTACATAGGTATTTCCTCTTTTCTAGCATACAATTAGAGTCTCCAAAATTATGCAAAAATGACCTTTGTTGGCAATGGCATGCATATTTTGGACTTGGTAGTATCATACCCTCTGGCATCATACCTTTGAGGTCTTTTTCATGGGTGAAATTATCTGCAATGTTTCATTAAATGTTTCCAGGTTCTGATTTTTCTGTGCTGCAAATCTAGCTGCTGATGACAGATAATAGTGAATATGATATTATGTCATGTACCTATGTCCTTTATATTACTCAGGCTGGATGAAAGGATCTTCATTACACATATTTGAATAGGATTTCTTTTTTGACTTGTATGACCTCTAACTTATATTCCTCAGAAATATGTCAAAAGCTGCAAGCAGATTGAAGAACATCAAGAAGGCTGTGGAAAAGGTGGTGCATGGACCAACTCTGAAGACAAACATAAAGGCTGGAAGTGCAGTGGCAGGCCCTCCATTGGGACCACAACTGGGACAGGTCAGTGATGTAGCACCAGATTGATATTCTGCCTTCACCAGAGCTGCAGAGCCATGGAAATTTTGGACTGCAGCGGCTCATGTAAGATGTGCCGGTGGCTTGGTTTCAGACTCCGGACAAAATGTGCCTTCTCCGGCTCCGGATACAATTTACTGGTGGCTATGGCTCTGGCGGTGGTGCCCCGTGCCTCTCATCCCAAATGTTATCTATTCATATTTCAGTGAATGAGTAACGCTAGTTACGATTCCATACGACAACCCCGTCTGAAAATTGTATGGGAATGGGACTGTGTTGACCGTTATTTAAAACAACCCACAAAATAACTGCGAGCTGAAAAGTATGTGTAATGTGTTATTTGATATTTCAAGCGAATTGGATACTTGTAATATTTTACGGAGTGGGTCTCCACAGAGTCCCAAACCGCTTATATAGCCTTTATTCTGGTTCCGCCCCCGATCAACTTTTCCATCGGCTCTCTCTCCCCCTCTCTCTCCTTGCACGCCACGCGTGGGCCCCCTAGGGGGCCCGCCGCGGGAGCACGTCGACGGGGGGGGGGGGTGTCGGCGCGCCCCACTCCTCGGAGAAACTCCGTGATCTTGGTTGCCGGCTCCTGGAAGATTTCCCGGAGTGTTGGTGTGAAACCCCAGAGCCGGCCTCGGGTGCGGCTCGCAGCACTCCAACAAATGACCATCAACGACAGGAGTAACAAGGATAACAACTATCTCACTCGTTTCCAGTGACAGCACTTACCGTACCCCTCCCCTGGCCCCCTCCCGCTCCCAGCGCGGCATCAACATCGCCGCGTTCTGCAAGGACTTCAACGAGCGCACCAAGGACATGACTCCGGGCGTGCCGTTGCCGTGTCGGATCACGGTGCGCGCTGACCGCAGCTACGAGCTGGTCATCCACCAGCCGCCCGCCTCGTTCCTGCTGCGACAGGCGGCCGGAGCGCCGCGCGGCGCCATGAAACCCGGTCAGTGACTGGGGTGACTGATATTGGTGGCTAGACCAAGGGCATAGTTGTCTTTGTGCGTTCAGGTTATTGAAGCAACTAAGAATGGATATGTCTTGATAGTGGTCGGTGGGGTTCGTAAATAGACTTGGAGATACAGGTTCTCTTGTAATGTGTTACATATAATGATAATGAACATATAATTGCACACCTGTTTGTGTTTGGGGAAATCTACAGAAGTGGATATTTTATTGTAACAATTGAATTGTGCCCATGTTTGAAACTGTGAAGCAACACTCGACATTTTCCTTTCAGGTCATGACATAGCTGGGAAAGTAACGTTAAAACACATATACGAAATCGCCAAAATAAAAGCAACTGATCCTCCTCTTCATGAAGTCGATTTGGAAGAAATCTGCAAATTAGTAATTCGGACGGCTCGGAGCTGTGGAATTCAGGTAAGAATACATTTGTCATCATCATTCCACCTCATCAAACAGCCTTTGCGTGTGATCAAGCGCAGAAGCCTTCAGCTACGACGAATTGAGTGAAGTAAGCACATTGCTTTCTCAAGTTAATGCTAGCTCTTTTTTATATTTATGTGTAGTTTGAATGGCTGGATGAGTGATATTGGGCCTGTGTAGTGTGTACAGCCACAGGGATTGTTGCAATCCCTACCATCGACGACATGTCATCCAGAACGCGCTCGCTACGGGTGGGCAGTTCGGTGTTCACCGGTGTTCTTTGAAACCTTTAATTCGATGCTCCGCTGGTAGGTGGCAGTGAGGTCAACAAGGACCTGTGCTACTGGTGCGCCCCGCACCTGCACATCTGCTCGTAGCGTGTGATCATTGCACTGATCAGTGCGTGTGAATGCACTGATCAGTGATCAGTATGTGTCCCGGCGGTGTGTCTCGTTCTTCACTGACCTGAGCCCTGCTTGCTCGGACCACCGCTACATCTGGCCCGACCTGCCTGCTGCTTATCGTTTTAACCTATCAGCGCGTCCCTTCAGTGCACCTATTCCTTCTGACCTGACATGTGTGCCCTCAGGTGGTGCGTGACCTTGACCCGGTGGAGTACGGAGCCTTTCTGGAGGAGCGGCGAGCAGAGATCAAAGCTCAGGATGAGCAGCTGGCAGCTGTCAGGGAGGCCAAGCTGCTCCGGACTAAATGAGGTGCCCGTGAACGCCAGTGCTAGTGCCGTGAACTAGTGATGGTGTGTGGTGACATGTGCTAGAGATGCTGCCGCATACTGATGCGCCGCCAGTGTGTTGTTGTACCGTGATGTGTAACTGTAATTTGATTGAGACTTTTAGCAGAACGAGTGGTGGGAATTGACGTGGTTGTTGATATGAATACAAGACGCGTGTTATTAGTGTGGCAGTGTTGATGTGTTCCCATAAGCAATGTTGATGATGGAGTAGGTAAGGTTTGACCTGAAAATCACTGCAATGAAACTGAAGTACTCGCTCCACACCACTGGGAATCCTCGATAAATGATGACGCTCTTGGTTTGGGACTGGAAGCGCCCGGAGTTAGGTGTTGGACGAATACACCGGTGCGCTATTGCTAACACGTGCCAGTGCACGATCATGCACTATGTGGGTTGTAGGAATAACAGAGAGCGGTAACCGTTTCAAGAAAAAGTGGTGATAGCAGTTATTTTATCGTTTTCGGAAAAGGGCTTCGCAGGACAGACTCCGCTACGAAGACGTGTCCTCACTGGGGAGTGAATCTCATTTAGAATCGGTAGTCAACAGAAAAAAATAAAGTACAGCAAGGATATTTGTGTGAAGTATCTGATCCGCTAGTGCCATACCTAATCAATGTACGGCCCTCCATGAAGTGGTTGTTGCCAACATCACAATAATCGATCTGCATCGATGAATACGTCTAATGGCTGTTGAAAACCAATGCCGAAATGTGTGCACGAACCCTCTTCTCATTTCTATTGAGTTATTTTACAGGAGCGTCTTTGTCATTTAAAGTTATTACACCAAAAGCACATAGGCTAACCAACCACTCTTTTGCTGGAGGGCCGCACAAGGTGCCGGCTGCCGCTCTTTCCATATAGCATCGCTAGTCGATTATTTGTATTTAGTAGTTGGTATCTTTCGAAGCTGTGTCTTATCTATAAGAATCTTGTCTCATAACATGCGCCAGGCCCATGTCGTCCCCTATCTCTCTGCGTGTCCACTAACACGAATGACGTCACGCATGTGGGCGGAGCTATGGGCGGAGCCTAACGCACGCGGCAGTCCAAGCCGCCATATTTGAATTTATATTTTAATAGAATCTTGCCGATATTTTGGGTGAAGTCAATTTATATGGATAGCTTGGTGACAGTTTAGCTATACGAATAATAATTTATTATGGATGTGCGTATATTCAGCTTGGAATTGCAATTAAAGTTCCGCACCGCATAGATTCGAACCCGGGACCTTTGGAATACTGCGCGGGCACGCTAACCACTACACTACCGCGACCGCGCGACGGCCGGCGGCAGGGAGGCTGCGGAGACATGGGGGGACATTTTACGCTTTTGTGAAAAAAGCAAAAGATTTAGCGAAAAACACGTAATAGATAACTTGCAGAAAATTGTCTGCTCTTTCAGATAAGATACTTAGGTTTGATATATCTTGTACAGACTTCATTCTACAGTGCTTCGAAAATCGCTCATTTACATGGGGATTGAACGGGGCTTCGAGACTTGACTCCAAATGACGTCACGAGCTGACGTCACGAAAAGGTAGAATCGCCGGACGACCCTACCTGGTATATAGGGCCTTGACATGCGCATGTGATTCAAGAGCGGCGCAAACTTTTGTGGAGGTAGGATGTGTTATTTTATATTTTATTGTTTTTTACCAGGTTTGATGGATTTATTATGTTTTCTTTTTCTTTGCCTCTGCATGCTGAGTTCGTTCTTCTTATATTGACCAAGGCTATATCAGTAAAGCTTGGTTTGGCATGCAAACACTAAATTTCAATTTGAGCTTCACTTCGATTTCATTTTCAGTAGGTATGTTGATGTAGCAAATATATTTCATCAATAACTGAATGATATTCTCAAATCTCAGCTTAATAGATTGGAACCTTATCATTTTGGCCTTCATTGTATGTGTTCTTCTTCCTGATACTTCTAAGACCCTGGCCTTAACGATGTGGACGACCTTAGCGGGGAGAGAGTTCCAGTCGCTTATCACCTTCGTGCCGAAGCAAAGTCTTCTAGTCCTCGATTGTGCTTGTTCCTTGTTCAGCTTCCATGGGTGTCTGTTTTGATGATGCTCATCACTTTTGTAACATAGATAAAAACTGAAACTAAGGAACAGTCTTTGCATCAGAGCAAGGGGCATAGGTACAGTCCACAGCAGAAGTAATGTGGGGTTTCAGTCATGGGTATGTTCTGCTTCTGAAGCTTAGGAACGATTAGCCAGACTACAATGAAACTTTGAATGTAGCTTATATGTATCGTCACCCTTGCAGCTGCAACTTTAGCTATTGACATCTTCTTTTCGATCACTCCGCATTAAACTATCGCCAGTCAAAGCCCACCGTTGAGATTGGTAAAACCCTACATTACTTTAGCGGTGGGCTGTACCAAGCAGGCATGTTGAAGAATGATTATTAGGGAAAATAAGGGACTATTAGGGGAATAATCAGGGGAGTGGAAATGGACTTAGTTTCCAGCCCATAGGAGAGATTTTAAGGAGAGGGCGAAGAAAATATTTCAGGTTTAGTCCAGGTTAACTCAAAGTCTCAGGTTCATTCAGGGCAAAAGCCTGAAGACTACTGCAGATGCAGAATAACATAACCTGACATAGGGTACCCTAACACTTGTCCCCTGCCCTCTAATTATTTAACTCCTGCAACAAAACAGGGCCCACCCTCCCCCTTCGCCATTTTGCCACCAAATGAGCTAGAGCCTTACCATTACAGGAAAAACGAGCGTGAGCGCCGTTACATGACTCAGGGGCTGGTACCTAAGGACTCAGGGACTGAACTGCTCTGTTCGGGCTGCGCTGCATTGCGATCGTCGAGAGGAGCTCCAGAGGGACATCTCTGAGCAGGGTCTCAATTAGTCTCCCAATAAGCCAAAACATTCCACATTCCTACTCAGAAAAATGTTGTCGGACTCAAGAAAGTTTTGAACTTTGTCGCTAAAGTAATCGGGCGTTGTAAATTTGCCAACGTCTCGGAGCTTAGTGACAATTTTGGCGGCTCTCTCCAAAATACACTTATATGTCAGATTACTTGACACAAGCGCGCACAACATACATTACGGCGGGACAGAGGAACTCAATGCACCGTTTGTTTTCAATCAAACTTTTTGAGACAGGCACACCCGGCAGGACTGTCTCCTCCATGTACCACGACCGAAACTTGAAACCGGTAAACAGTGTTTCGAGTACCGAGCCGCGGTGCTGTTGAATAGCCTCCCACCTCAGGTAGTGCAGCTGCCACCTGCCAGCTTCGCCCGGTCTCCCCGGGCCGCGCTGAAGACCCGCACTCCGCTACGCCGCTGACCAACAGTACCTACAGTAGTCGACAGAACTGACAGTTTGTCAGATGGGTGGTCTGTGTTGCTGTGCGTCTTAGGATGAGTTCTGTCGCGACCCTGCGCTGACGTATGGCAATGAGTGTTCTCGTCACTTCTCCCCCTACCTGCATGCTTGCTACCAATGACTCGGATCTAACGTTAAGTCGTAATCGTCACGCTGTATAATATACAGTACAGCGCTGTATAATATACATCACAAGCCTTCCCATATACAGTGTATATGGAAGGCTTGTGATGTCACTTCGTCACAGACCTGTAACTTCGCCAAAAATTGTCATTGAGTCGCGATTTTGGCACCATCATGCTCTTCATGCTCATGCGCATCGAATCACGAATGATACACTTTTGGTGAAGGTGAGGTAAACTTAAGTTGTCACGGTTGACCCTAGGTCAAGGTCAGATCAGAGCCACTTATATCACGAGGGTGCCGAAGGAGGTCATATTGCATACCATTCAATTTGGCAGGTCTTCCCTAGTCCATTGGTCCCTTTCCCGAGGCGCTAGCTCAATTTGACCGGGAGTTGTTGACGAAAAACTCGTATGACCTTAATGACGTCATAAATGACGTCACGCAAGGCCATCGATGCAAAAGTGAAGCGTCAGCCCTTGCAAGGAGTGCATGAATCCATGCCTCCATTTGCTTGAGATAGTCCTCGATAATTTCAGGCATAGGCAACAAAAAATCAATACCTATTTCCCATTTACTTATAGTGGTGAGGTGACATGACCGACCTGGCCTCAGGTAACCCTAAGGAAAAATTCAAGATAAACAAGATATTAAGATTTAGATAAGTCATATAAGTTTCATCTCCCTGTGAAAGATCCCCTGGCACTGAGGGAGGATGTTGCGTAGTTGGGACATTTTATGACCGCGTAGAGGTTAATTTACAACGCCATAGGTCATTGACCTAACCTGACCTGAAAATGCGTTTGGTGTTTCAAGATCTTGCCAAGGCTATAGAACTCCGATCTTGCACGAAGCGAGGATTGAGTGGGCCAGCATTCATCAGTCATCTCATCTCACTATCGATATCGCGTCCCGAACAATCGCTATAAAATCGCCTTTGGGTGCGGCACCCTCCCCTCTCGGCCGAGGAGAGTAACAGAATTAACGTTTCTTTTTTGTATTTATAACGAAGTGTTGTTATTGCAGAACATTTACTTTGATGTCACCGAGTGGCAGAGCCGTTACTACACAACAAAACAATGCCTCACCACGCATTTTTTACGTTGTGAGGACTCTAAGCCCACTCAATCATGGGTGAAAGCTGAAACTCTGCGGAATGATGTTATTGCAGCATCAGCGGGCCCGTATTACGCTACAGGGCTTGTAACGCGCCGAGCTGCAAACTCCCACCCGTTTCGGGAAAGACTGTTAATGCATTCATCAACACCTTCTTTGGACGGCCATCGTAATTGCAAACCTCATGAGAGCCATTTGCTAATGATTTATTGCTTGGCATCGCGACAGCCAGTTGCAACCGACGCATTGCACTAGCTGGTTTCAACATCATTATAACTGCTGGTCCATGAACCACCTGAAACAGCAAATTATACGATATCTGGGATCTAGCGGTCGTATGGCTAGGATACATGGACGTTGTCGACATTTGACATGCTTCCAGTGTCCTCCGCGTTAAAATTACAACCCTCACCTACTGTGTAATCGTTAGGTACCTAGGTGCACTGTGGACATGTCGCAATTCAAAACTTTTATTTTCAGCACATTTTGTTCTGTGCCCAATGTAGTACATGTTAGTATCTACCAGATACCGAACTATTTCTGATGTGATGCAGCCATATAGTAATACTACGTAATAACTTTTCTTGTTCTTACTTTATTTGAGGCTCCATTTGCCAATGTTTATTTCCATAATATCGAAAACTACCCAAACAAAGTGGGTAGTATTTACACTACAGTAATACTTAGCGTTGCGTTGCCAATAACTGGTGAGTCCGAGACGGTGACCGAAGCGTCAACATGTTGCCGCTCTGTCCCGGTTCCTGGAAAAAGCTCTTATATGCCTCCCTAGCCGGAAAGAGTTATGAAAGACAGGCCGTTAGCTCCCGCTGGCAGCCTCGCACCACAAAATATATGAGTGGCAGCGTCTCTTATCCTTCGATGGGGCTCGCGAAAGTTTTTTTTTTTGTATTTTCTCATAGACGCTTGTCCTTTGGCAAGAACTTTGTTACCTAAATCTCTTTGGTTCTGTCAGCTTACATCAACAGCAGTATTTTTTCCGCACAGTTTAAGCAATTTAGTTGCGCACCGCATTTTTACTAGATCGGAACGTTTCCATCTTGTTTTATTGACCATTAATTCGTAATCCGTTGACTTCTTTTTTGTTGCTGTTCGAATGAGGTAGGCAGAAGGCACAGCGATGAATGATAGGTATATTATGAATAATATTGTTGAATTAGTTACACGAAAGCGTGCAATTGCCCTATCGAGAGAACCGTCTTCAAAACATGCCACCTAGAATTGGAGTTTGCCCATGAACCTCCTACCCTGCAGTCGGCAGTCAATCTTCGACAATCATTCCCCGATTCATACCTAGTCTTATCTCAAGTCTCAACGCGTTATATCAATTCCCTCGTTTTGGAATTTCAAGGCTATCATTGTTCTTTCTATTTTTAAAATACCTCAGCCTTTTTGTGTTGAGCCAAAATTGTTTGCCACAATTTCTTCCACCCGCGCAAACTCACTGTAGAAAGATGCCTCGGTATGTCGAAGGTTTGTACTTTTAATAACGGATCATTTGTCAAGACGGAAACTAGTTAGTAGAGCTCAATATTCCACGAAGAGCCTAGGACAGGTCTTTGTAGCAGATTATTTCTCCTTGCAATTTCACTGCAGAATTGTGATAATATCCAGAATTCCTACGCAGCTAACGCATTACGCAATCCATGCTGACACTGAATTACAGTTATCGAGCGCATACAGCAAAATCACCAATCAGTCATTCACATACGCGTGTAGTTACAAACAAGCGTGTTTATGTGTTCTGTATGATTTGCTTGTCTCTTTCATTGCTGCTTGTTAGAATATATCGCTTTGATAATGGCAATGGACTTCTGTTATGCAGTATGTAAAGTTATGCTGTATCTGAATGACCCGGTATCTATATTACTATTTGTGGTGACGTAGTTTCTGTGTATTACGAAGGTCGCGACATGGTGCTACGTAGCGCGGGTTACAGGTCACACCGTTGCACCTACCGCGCTGAAGTTTGCGCAACTCATAGAACAAGGATGGACAACGTGCCTTTGATGGGTCTCAGCTCGATCGGATCGATAGCGAGCGCGTGGCGTGTGCCCAAAAAGTGCAAATTCGCGTCATAGACTTTACATGTATTAATCGGCTGGCAAAAACGGGCGAAAACAGCCAAATTTGCCCGACATGGGTCCGGTCCCGGTGCAATATCTCGGTAACCGTGGGCCCGACCGGTACGGGGAAAACAGCATCGTGTAGAGAATCGAACGGGCTATCGAATGGTGTGCGGTGCAGACTGCAGGGGTTGGCACGCGCCACGTGCACCGGGTAGGACACTTTCTTTTGAAAAATGGACGTTTTGGACGGATTTTGGAATTTATATTAATTTCAGGTGATCGTCAGACGGAATGAGTTGAAACAGCGCCTATTAGCAATAAAAATGTACCGTCTCTCATGGAAAAATTGTGAAAAGCTAATTGATCAAAAACAATGCGGAAAAAATCGCTGAATTAAATGGTATTTGTCCAAAATGTGCCACTAAATAATTACACGGATTTTGCTGCTTAACCTGATACGTTTGACAATTGAAAATGCTATCATTGGAAAGAGCATTCAATTCTCTCCAAGATCCATTCATCACGTTTGCATGACAAGCAACAGTATTCTTAAAAATATTAATGTTTCAAACCTCTGCAAAACGATTTTTAGTGAAAATTATCTACGCCTTTAATTTGTCATAAAACTACGCGCCTAAATTATAAAGCACATTTGACAGATTCTGAAGTGGAAAGCATGCTTATCAGACACGGGCACCTCGATGCGGTGGATATTTTTTCCACAAACCAAAACGTTTAGCCGTCAAAAAGCAATCGACCGAAATGGATAAATAACCCAACCGTCACAAGAACAACCGAACACCCGCCGATCGAAAATATCCCTTTTCGCGTTGCGGAGCACGCGGGTCACCCTAGTGTAAAACCATAGATACAAGATTCATGTTATCTATGGTAACGCGAATTATGAAAAACACAGCATCACGATTAGGCTATTTTTGTTTTCCACCTTCAAATGCCGTTAAATATCAGCATGAAATGGACGTCGAAAGGTTTCCTCTTTATCGTTGACCCTAGTTTGTAAAACATGTCTTTATTTTACAGACTAATCGAGCGTCATGGCCCAGTACAAGGGAGCCGCACGCGAGGGGGGCCGCGCGCTCCAGCTGGCCAAAAAGCGCGAGCGGGAGCAAGAGGAGCTCGAATTTAAAAAGAAGAAGATCGAGAACGAGATGAAGATCGCGGCGATCGACTCTAAGTTCGCCGCGCACTACGACGCTGTGGAGCAGCAGCTGAAGGTAAGTCGGGTCGGGCTGCGCGACTCACTTCCTCAGTGATTGTTCAAGGCTAGTGCGCCGGCGCTGAATGTCTTCTCAATGACAGCCGAAGGTCGGACTGTTGCTGGGGATCTCTGGCGAAAAGATGTTTATCAGATTAGAGTGGTTTTCGGTTCCTGGTAGTGCTGAAGTGTAATGCCTCTTTTTAATGATCTCGGAAATAAGAGAGTTCCTAGAATTATAAGGCATTAAGGGTTTGAAACACCAACCTTTTGTATACGTTTTCGGAAAATTTCAAAGCTTTGCGGTAACGGAGTCACGCCAAAATTGATTAATCAGACATTCTTCCACATATCGAATGAAATAGCGCATTATCGTCGAGTTTTAAACGGCAGAGAAGGCCAAATAAGTCCACTTGCATACTAGAATGCTGTTAATTCCATTGGGAATAATTACATTAGCAGCGTTTTTCATGCGTACGACCCTTATCCAACACCCAGCGGTTTGTCGCCAATGTACCGGATGACGGAGACATCCGGTACATGAGTACAGTGCTCACGTCAGATGCCAACGGATTTCTTCCGTGACCGTCTCACAAATCGGTTGGACTTTGGCAAACCTCTCTGGCTCACGATGGTAACTATGCCCGATAAAATTACACTCGTCTGAAAGACAAATGTCCCAGAAATCCCCGTGTCTTTGTTTCATCTCGATACTGTTTTTTTTTTTTTAAAGAGTTGTGGGGTAACAGACGCTACTTTTTTACACACCTTTGTGTGAATGGTATGTGCTTATGAGCATCTGGAAGCTAGTTAACCTAATCGGGCATCTTTCTGGTTAATTCGCGATATCAAACCCCACCTATAGTGAGATGACGCACCAGTTAGCCAAGTGTTACATGGATAGAATTAGCTGGTAGCTTAACTGTTCGTCAAAGGTGGGTGATGAAACACCCATCGGAGACCATCGATAGCGCAAGCCATGGGCTGAAAGTGCTGCCTCTTGTTTCATCTCTGATCCTCTAGGCATACATTGTTGGACTGTCTTACTTGGAAGTGAGGCGTTGATTTGTAAATACCAAGGATGAATGCAGGGCTTTAGTGTCGTCGTCGCCCATATTCATTGCAACACTGCTGAATGGCGAAATAAGCAACAGGAATTGAATTATTAAGCGACATTGGTCAGTAAGTGATTGTAATCTGAAGACTTGACTTAGTAATGCCACAACAATTGATGCAACCATTGCTGAAAAGTTTCGACATTATTTCTCGAATTTCCCTATAGTGCCTTGCATTTAATTGATTTTTTTTTTATCACCGCGGATCAACGCGGTAAGAACGATGGTTACCGCAATTTAGTTTGGGATATGATTTTTGCCAAGGTCTCAACGATAACTATAGATATTGAAGCCTGCAACCTCCGGTTTTGCTATGGATTAATCCAATGATAATATGTCATCGTACGAATCTAACAAGCATCCATTGTACCCCATGAACCCTTAGCTGGCTAAAATAGCTGATTGGTATCTAGCCGCAGCCATGCTCGTTAATACGGCGGTTTGGTAATTCCTGTCGTCCGATCCGGTCCTGCAGTGCGGTCGGCACGTCGTCACGTCCCAAAATAGCGCCCCGTGCAAGGTCCGCTCCCCGGACCGCCGGATGGAGGCGTCCCCGGGAGCGCCGCCGAGCCATCGCCGCCGCCTAACGCTGCGCGCCGGACGTCGGAGAGGATTGGCGTCCGATAGATGCCGCGGGATGGATGCGATCGTGACGCCCACGCTGCTCTGTTCTGCCGTCGGCGGTGTTCCGTCTCCGGAGATTTGGGCTGTCGTGGTTCGGTTCTTCCCCTGTCACGGTCGAGATGTGAGGATCGCGCCGGCTGCCGGTAATTTTCCGACTCTGCTCGAGAAGTCTGTCGATGCCGACTTTATTCCGCCCTGATACCGACTTAGTCCACCGTCGATGCCGACTTTATTTCGCCCTGATACCGACAGTCCGCCGCTGGCGCTACCTAACTGGGCGCTGTTTCACGGCACGACGCCACAGCGCGTTACGCGTATCGGTGTGCTGGGTTTCCATGGAAACATCAACAAACTCAGATGCGCAACGCTGGAGTGTTGAGGCTTATTCGTCTCGAACGCCTCAACAATACCTATCGTAGCGTAGCGTAGCGCAGGGTATATTGCGTAGCGCAATGTAGCGTCGTACCGTGAAACAGGGCCCTGGCGTTAGGTGACCTGCCTGGCGTAAGGTGGCAAACTTCGCCCCATTCGAGAGATCCTCGAGCAGCACCGCACTGGCCCGTACGCCATACTGGGGCCGACCCTGGTATCCGATCGGCGTATGTCGCACATGACATGCCTGATTATTGTTGGGCATGTGGAGATGAGGGATGCCGCATTTCATTACTGCGTTATCCGCGTGCTATCCGCATGTAGTCACTGTTTGAATTCTAAAGGGACTGTAGCCTGGTCAATGCTTGTGCCAATGGTTGGTGGTGGCGATGGGACCAAGAGGTTGATGCTCGTACGTTTCTCAAGACCGTCAGTTATAATGTATCTGAAGGCTGCGACAAGCGGTGCTGCATATTTTTACCCTCTGTTGCTGCTGGTACTCGGTACTGGTGGCGGTTTTGAGTAAGAGTTGCGCCTCGGCTGATACCCCGCTCAGGTCAGGTCAAACGGGTGTCTGCTGGCGACGCTCTGACCGCAGACATGGGGACTCAGCGCAAAACTGGCAACCGAGCTGAGCCACCGTCGTTTGGCAACTCCGGTCCGTCCGCTCGGCTGTTTGCGCTCACGCATGACAGGCCTCAAACCGGGGCCGGTGCGCCTATGCAGATGGCAAATCCGGCGTCCTGAGGGGTTGTTTCGTTATTCTCTGCCCTCTGACAGCTGTTGTTTGAGGTGACTTTGCACTTTCACATGCTGGCGGGATAGGATGAACGTTGGCACATACAAGGGATCATGTCATAGACTCGGAACGGGTTTTACCTCTGGTAATTCCACATCGCGTCCATGCGTTTTCATGTGTGGTGTCAGTTCTTTTGAAGGAATTAACTTGTCTAAGGAAGGTGTGCGCTCGTGTGAGAATACTTATCTGATGCATTGTTTGTTTGTTTGTCGCACTTACATGACAATACATACAAGCCGTGCAAGATTAGCCTCATTTCAATACCTGTGATGTATCTGATAACCCAGACCATTAAAGTAATGTTTGATACCCAACCTGCGCTGTCCTTTCTAGATGCCGGTATCTATCTGTTCTTTCGTCTGGTTCTCCGAACCGGACGCGCTCAGCCATTTGTCCAATTATGCTAAGATGGATGATGCAGTTCAAAACCTGTTCTTTTAGGCCAGATAATGCGTGTCCCAATGCCGAGATACGTATCTTGCGATCATATCCCACATTTTACGTCAGTGCAGTCCTAGAAAACGGTTATTCACTTTTTGTTTTGCTGAGCACAAAGCTACTGCCATATTGCAAAAGGTGAGAGCGACGAACTCATGCTACTTTGCGTTAAAAAGTCGTCTTAAAAGTAACTTTTCTGTCTACTTCTTTTATGTTAACTCTTTTAGGCTCTATAGTTTGGCTTATCCTCGGAAAAATTGAAACTAACCACTGAAAAATCCTGCTCGTATGATTCCAATTCGGGTGATTGCTTACTTGAGTCTTGATACATATTTATTGATGGCCTGCAGATGCCTCGTGTCTCCAACCCTTCCAAAAGCCAATATTCAATACATCAAAAAACGCAGTCGAGATACTATATTTCAGTGAGATCTTGCTCATCTGTCATATATTCTCTCGCATATTTCTACTAGGTACTCGGAACGGGGCTAAACGCGTCTTGTTTCGCAAACTGCACGGAGCTATTACCGTTTTGCCTATCCCTGCCACCTCACTGAAGATATTAACGGTCGTAAATCGGTGTTGAGCGCGTGACGGCGCGGTTGGACCAGTTCACACCCACCCGGCCGGGCTAGCGGTCCTCCGGTTTATCGCCGGCCTACTGTGTCGCGGTGGGGACTGCCCGCTCGGAGGAGAAGCACCGCCTCCTTCTGGGCCGGTCGGTGGGATCAGGTCTGAGTGCGAACCGAGCCGCCGCCGCCGGGAGAAACGCTGCCAGACCTGTCCTGTCGGTACGAACACGGGACCGGGCTCCGCACCGGCCGGCCGGGCTCCGAGAAACAGCCGGGCCGGGCTCAGAACGGGACCGCCGCGTGCAGCCCAGTTTCGCCTTCTTCCGGTGAATCTTCCGAGGATGTGATTCAGCAGGGCGGCTTGTTGCTGTGTGGCTTTTGATTCGTTTAGTAGTGCTTATTTACTGATTTAGGAATACAAATAGCTTGTTTTGTTTTACGAGACTCTCATAACAGTCTTGTTGAGACATTATATTTCAAATGCGTTCGTGGTACACCTCTGAAGCCACCGTGCCTCGAATAACCGCTTCGCTTACGATGCTCCTAAGCTCAATCAAATCTGTTAGCACGACTCTCCGTGACAATGTTGTAAGGTTTTCTCAGTAGACGTGGTGGTATTGCTTTTCATGAGACCGCAGTAAGTAGATAAATGTGACTGAAGTTTCCGGTGCCCGGGTGAAACACCAGAGGGTCGCCGGTCTAATGGATCTGATATGTGACTCCATTGTCGGGGCAAAATCGCCATTTGTGCTGGCAAAGATCGGCAACGTACCGACGGAAGTGAAAATCGATACCAGTTATGTCGGAGAGCCGCATCAATTTGATGCATTGTGGCTTTATGTTATTTTTTTGTGATTTGGGAATATTTCCTTCATTCTACTTGCTTTGTCACATTATCTCGGGGATATGTTTAGCAATCGTGCATATTTTGTTTGCGACACGTTCAGCTCTCGTCAGTATCTGCCTACACATAACTATATGACCTTTAATGTCTCAGCGAGATCATCATTGCAGTTATTGCCGCATTAAATATGTTGCAAAATGATCCTTGAAGTCTCGTCTGCATGAGTGCAAGAGTAGCAGTGGGCAACAGGGCGTT